CCCCCCAGGCGGAGTCGTACGCCAATGGGGAGCTGCAAGAGAGTGGGTGAAGACCCTGGGACCTTTGTGGGTGAGTTCTACGAAGGCACGTCAGGAGGTGAGAAGGATGACGCAGCTGAAGAAGTTCTTCCGCTCCCAGAAGGAGATGCCAGCAAGACCCAAAGGCTGACATTGGTGAAGCAGATCTGGAAGGAGTAGCCAAAGTGTCCAAGACAGCCCCGTGCCTCCTCTGGATGAGGAGATGTTGGCGGACCTGGCCAAGGAGCCTGCTTCGGTTGAGGGCGAGTTCAAGCACAACTGGGGTACTGCTGAGAAGCTGTACAAGTCGGAGGCGATCGATTCTTTCGGCAACAGGTATCTGCTGGGTGTCTTTGAGGACACGAAGGACGCAGAGAAGGCCTTCGATGCCTGGAACAAGGAGTACGAGAAGGCTGGGCAGGATGTGAAGGAGAGCATGAAGAATTGGGCCAAGCAGCAGGAGGCTGAGCTGGCCGAGGAGCAAGACTCCGTCGACCGTATCCGCAAAGCTCTTGAGGAAGCCAGGCGATAAAGTTTTCTCAACAGTGTATATAGAACGATTTCTCCGAAGGAGCGTCCTGCGTGTGAAAATTGGCTCCTTTGCTGCATCCCTGACCATTGCAACTTGTCTTTGCAGAAGCTTGAAGCGCACACTATCTTCAGTGCCAAGTCAGTGTGCAGTTTGGACTATTTACAATTTTCTCTTTGTAGCTGTCTTTATCAGAGACACCTGGGGGAGGCGCGTGCCTCATAAGTCCTAGCCGTCAGCCATGCCGCAGTCTTTGCCTCTGCTGCCAGCCGCCCTTTTGGGCGTGGGCACGTACCTCCTGGTGTCCCGGTCGTCCTCGCAGTCCTTCGTGACAACGGGCACATCCGCGAGGCAAAGCCGCACAGCCATGCGGGGATTCAAGGACGACTTCTACGCCTGGAAGGACACCCTGAGCAAGGACGATCAGGCTCTGCTGCTGAAGCAGGCCCAGAACGAGTTCAACAAGAAGTTCAGGTCAGGCGATGACTTCAAGAAGACAGTGGATCAGGAGAAGATTGCGGCCTTCGGCAAGGTCCTCCAGAAGTTCTTTGACAACGAGAGGGAGGACTACAAGAAGGAGGAGGCGATGAGGGCCCCCGACTACCAGGCTTTGCAGAAAAGGGCCGGCCAGGTGGGCTACGACTTTGGCTTGAAATCGGAGACCGTGGAAATCGACCGTGATGCTGACCGTCGCTGGGCTACTGCCAGCCGGAAGATGGCCATGGCGGAGAAAGAGGGCAAGGAGTATCCCGACAGTTCTCCTTTGGAGGAGCTGTTTGCGATTGCCAACGACGCGGAGCACCACGACAACAACGTGAAGACTCTTGAGAAGCTGAAGGAAGACTCCAAGGGCTTCAAAGACCTTGACGCAATGTTCAAGGACTTTTCGATCCCAGCTGCTGGCGAGGACTTCAAGGTGATGATGCCCCGGGTCCTGTTTGAGAAGCTGGGTGACTATGCCAACCAGTATAAGGAGAAGCTCGAGGCCTACAAGAAGGACCACAGCGAGTCCGAGGCGGAGTCTTACGCCAATGGGGAGCTGCAAGAGGAGTGGGTGAAGACCCTGGGGACGCTTGTGGGTGAGTACTACGAGGCACGTCAGGAGGTGGAGAAGGAGGTGACGCAGCTGAAGAAGTTCTTCCGCTCCCAGAAGGAGATGCCAGGCAAGACCAAGGCTGACATTGTGAAGCAGATCTGGAAGGAGTTGCCAAAGTGGTCAGACAGCCCCGTGCCTCCTCTGGATGAGGAGATGTTGGCGGACCTGGCCAAGGAGCCTGCTTCGGTTGAGGGCGAGTTCAAGCACAACTGGGGTACTGCTGAGAAGCTGTACAAGTCGGAGGCGATCGATTCTTTCGGCAACAGGTATCTGCTGGGTGTCTTTGAGGACACGAAGGACGCAGAGAAGGCCTTCGATGCCTGGAACAAGGAGTACGAGAAGGCTGGGCAGGATGTGAAGGAGAGCATGAAGAATTGGGCCAAGCAGCAGGAGGCTGAGCTGGCCGAGGAGCAAGACTCCGTCGACCGTATCCGCAAGGCTCTTGAGGAAGCCAGGCGATAAAGTTTTTCTCAACAATGTATATAGAAGAACGATTTCTCCGAAGGAGCGTCCTGCGTGTGAAAATTGGCTCCTTTGCTGCATCCCTGACCATTGCAACTTGTCTTTGCAGAAGCTTGAAGCGCACACTATCTTCAGTGCCAAGTCAGTGTGCAGTTTGGACTATTTACAATTTTCTCTCTGTAGCTGTCTTTATCAGAGACACCTGGGGGAGGCGCGTGCCTCATAAGTCCTAGCCGTCAGCCATGCCGCAGTCTTTGCCTCTGCTGCCAGCCGCCCTGTTGGGCGTGGGCACGTACCTCCTGGTGTCCCGGTCGTCCTCGCAGTCCTTCGTGACAACGGGCACATCCGCGAGGCAAAGCCGTACAGCCATGCGGGGATTCAAGGACGACTTCTACGCCTGGAAGGACACCCTGAGCAAGGACGATCAGGCTCTGCTGCTGAAGCAGGCCCAGAACGAGTTCAACAAGAAGTTCAGGTCAGGCGATGACTTCAAGAAGACAGTGGATCAGGAGAAGATTGCGGCCTTCGGCAAGGTCCTCCAGAAGTTCTTCGACAACGAGAGGGAGGACTACAAGAAGGAGGAGGCGATGAGGGCCCCCGACTACCAGGCTTTGCAGAAAAGGTCCGGCCTGGTGGGCTACGACTTCGGCTTGAAATCGGAGACCGTGGAAATCGACCGTGATGCTGACCGTCGCTGGGCTACTGCCAGCCGGAAGATGGCCATGGCGGAGAAAGAGGGCAAGGAGTATCCCGACAGTTCTCCTTTGGAGGAGCTGTTTGCGATTGCCAACGACGCGGAGCACCACGACAACAACGTGAAGACTCTTGAGAAGCTGAAGGAAGACTCCAAGGGCTTCAAAGACCTTGACGCAATGTTCAAGGACTTTTCGATCCCAGCTGCTGGCGAGGACTTCAAGGTGATGATGCCCCGGGTCCTGTTTGAGAAGCTAGGTGACTATGCCAACCAGTACAAGGAGAAGCTCGAGGCCTACAAGAAGGACCACAGCGAGTCCGAGGCGGAGTCTTACGCCAATGGGGAGCTGCAAGAGGAGTGGGTGAAGACCCTGGGGACGCTTGTGGGTGAGTACTACGAGGCACGTCAGGAGGTGGAGAAGGAGGTGACGCAGCTGAAGAAGTTCTTCCGCTCCCAGAAGGAGATGCCAGGCAAGACCAAGGCTGACATTGTGAAGCAGATTTGGAAGGAGTTGCCGAAGTGGTCAGACAGCCCCGTGCCTCCTCTGGATGAGGAGATGTTGGCGGACCTGGCCAAGGAGCCTGCTTCGGTTGAGGGCGAGTTCAAGCACAACTGGGGTACTGCTGAGAAGCTGTACAAGTCGGAGGCGATCGATTCTTTCGGCAACAGGTATCTGCTGGGTGTCTTTGAGGACACGAAGGACGCAGAGAAGGCCTTCGATGCCTGGAACAAGGAGTACGAGAAGGCTGGGCAGGATGTGAAGGAGAGCATGAAGAATTGGGCCAAGCAGCAGGAGGCTGAGCTGGCCGAGGAGCAAGACTCCGTCGACCGTATCCGCAAGGCTCTTGAGGAAGCCAGGCGATAAAGATGAAGTTTTTCCACATGCTAGATCTGGAGGGATTGCCACATGGCAGACAAGAAGCTCACGGCCCTCCGGCGGAGAAATGTGACGAGGCAGGCAGCGCCGGAGCCTTGCCGGGTGTGTAGCGAGTTTAGCGAGCTTGCATCAGCGTTCAGGTGGCTTGTCTTTGGGCGCAAGCAGCTCACCTGCACTTTCAATCAAACCGGCTGGTTGCCCAAGCCACTGTTGACACAATTTGAGACCCATTCAAAGGGACGCACAATGAGTTGCAATCTCCCCACAGGACAGCGTTGCGGCATGTTCCCACACCATGATGAGCCTCACAGAAGGTTGGGCGATCGACGAGTCTCCATTTCGTTCGGATTGGCATGTTTCCATTGTTTTGGAGTACCCTCCCATCCAGAAACATGGAATCTGACTGAGAGGTCCTGGAAGACCATTTTCCTTACAGGGACTCCTGGGTTCCATGTTAGTGGACCGGAGGTAGGTGGCAAGCCATACATTGTCCTCGGACAGCTCATGGGATTTCCGAAGAAGGCAGAAGGTCCTGCCTGCCCCTCAGATCACACTTAAAGATGTTTTTTTTTTTTACTCCAGGCGACGCGATCTTGTCTGAAGACAAGGGCGCCAAGGCGCAAGCGAAAACGATTTCCCGGCAGGGAAACATGCGGGTCCCGTTTGTAGTGGTAAACTTGCCACTCAAGTTGCTGGTACGGATGGTTTCCATGTTGCAAGCAAATCATCCACCAGCCCCCCGAATTGCCATTTTCCCCCTGCTTCGTACTATATGACATTGAAATATCTAGGGCATTCATCATGAGCAGGCTTTGTGCATTAAGTTGTTCGCTTGTTGGGCTTGAAGGGGTTGTCTGCTTGAGCTGATGGCAATGTGCTTCTGGAAGCCGATCTAAAGACTCACGAGGAAAAGGGGTCTCCTCTTGGCCGGGTGGGACCCCCATTTTCTTCCCGTTGCCAAAAGACAATCGAAAAAGCATGGCATATGTGTCTGCCTTTTTTGCCGGGTCAGCAGTAGCCCATTCGCAAAGCAAGGCTTGAGTCATCTTGAGTCAAGGTCAGCGCGACAAAACTCATTGGTCACTTACGCCGACATGGTGTTGCTTGTTTCGATGTCCCAAAGTCAGACACTTGTTTCTTTTTCCTTTCACCCAGTGGGTGACTTTGACAGTGGTGAAAACATGGGGCCAGCAACTACTACCTGTTGGGAATGCTGAGAAGAGACTCCTAGCACAAGAAGGCTAGCTTGTGTAGAAGACTAGTCAACACTTTTCTCGCATAGATTTGCCTGCAATGACCAGTAGCTGGCGTTGCCTTAGAGCCGATGGGTGACCAGGACAGGCTGGTTGTCGAACACAATTTCGCCCGCCATGGTGCGTCAGAGTTGGCCATACGAGGGGTGTGAAGAATACGGGTGTCCTTGATGTCAACCGCCGCCTTTCGAGGGTCGGGACCCAAGGGTTGGACATCTTGGAATTTTGGCAACCGCTTGTCTCAACACGAGGCACCCCCGGCACAGGAGGATGAAGTGGTCGAGGCTGAGGATGCAGAAGTAGCAGAGGGTGCGCATGGGATGGGCGTGATGCAAATGTGGCATGGTCACAGCACCCGGAGATTTTGGGGCTTGGGGATTTGAAGCCCTGCTTGTTGAATGGGAAGCCACCAAGGGGTAAGGTGAGGTAGGAGGGGGGCAATTTCAGGCACGACCTGGCTCGAGGCAAGAAGCGCGCCAAGCGCAAGATGGCCATAGTGATCGGGTTCATTGGCACCAGGCGACCTGGGAGGTGAAGAGAGAGGCCCAGGCTGCGTCCTTGTAAAGGAAAGCCCATTTGGTGGTTAGCGTCCCCTGACATCCCCACAGCCACGGCCAGGGATCGAGTTTTAGTGGAGATCAGTGCCTAGAGGGCTCAATCTGAGGCGGGTACAAGCTGAATCTTGTCAAACGCTGTTCGGTGCAGTCAGAAAATTCAAGGTCCTTAGGTCAGGATCTGGCCGGGATCCAAAGCAAATGCCTCATTTTGAAGGCCGCCGGAGAAAAAAGCCAGTTTGCTGGCTGGGACCTGTGTGTGCTTCTTTGTTTCTTCTTTTTTCTTTTTCTCGCCAGAATCCGTGGGGGTGCCAGGTATCGGGGGTTGATGATCAACCCGGAAGTGGAACCCACCTCCGCCAAGAAATCGGTGGAGGACGCGGCAAAATTCGTGCGGCGGCGCTTGCGCTTTTAGTAAAGCCGCTGGTTGCAGTGCGAAGCTCATTCCATGCACGCTTTTCAGCTCATTTCACATTGATATGTTGCAAAGCTGGAAATCCTGCCAATGTTTCATGTTAGGCAGACACTGTGAGCCAGAATGAGAGTCCCTGCCACCCTGGCCACTTTTCACCCCCCCCCCCCCAAGAGGCTCCTGGGGCTTTATGGAAGGACCCACCCCTCAATTAGACCCCAACATTCCCCCCCCGCCCCCCCCCGCCCTCTGACCAGGAGATTGTGCGGCAGGCCATGGTGCGGGCGGAGCTGGTGAGCGAGCTGAACTCCCAGCGCTTGGAGCAGAAGGCCCGACGCGCCAACTTTGTCGATCCCGTTTTGTGGCTCTGGTTCCGTTTCTGCAAAGAAGTGGTTGCGTTGTGGGGGGGGGCGGGGTTGTGCAAAATTGCCTTTGGGCCAAAAGTGGGAACCCAGGCACCCAAGGTTAGAGGGTAAGTTTGAAGGTGTCACTTTAGTGGACTCAGTTTGGCAGAGTTCTTAGCTGGACAATACGCAATGATTGATGTAAAGTCAACATATGAGTGCAAAGGATGTCGCATGGCCTGACGTACCTCTGTGGATGGATTGATTATCAACTTGTTGGATTGTTCTGGTGGCGGGCAAACGGATATGAGAAACAGGAATTGTATTGCGCTATCGCTTGCAAGATTGGTTGTGGCTTAGTCTCTGAGCTTGTCCTGCCGGCCAGCATTAGTGGGCGGCTTTCGGAAGCTCGACTTCCGGAGAGGAAGTGCAACGTGTGGATCGGTACGACGAGAGCGGCCCGACCATTGTGCAGCGCAAGTGCTTTTAGACAGCTCGTGAGCTCGTGGTTCAAGGCTACAAGGTGCTACAAGACTTACCTTTGTGGTCCGGCAGGAAGGCCATGTTGCAAAGGGTATGACTCTCAGGTTTATGGTTGCTATTTCAGCTGAAATGTACAGCAATGAGCCACTGCCACTCTCTGAAGCCACAGAGCAAATCAGCTTGCAAGTACGTGTCGGGCAGGGGAGGGTGGTCTAGTTGCAGGAATGCTCAGTCTTTGCTTTTTGAGCTTGGCTCCAGGTAGGCTGGAGCCGTTCCAGCCGCACGGATGCGGGCGCACGGGGCTTAGCTTGAAGCACGCGTTTGGTCGAACGGTCCCATGTTTCGGTGGGATGCCATGCGCCGCTCTTGAAAGTCATCGCCCCTTTTTAGACTCTACACGCTAGTTGACGCTTTGTTGGATGACTGCTCTCCTGCCCAGACGCTCCCGATCATTGTAGGGCCCTCAAACAGCCAGGTTTTGAGACCCGCAAAAACCTCCGGGGTGTCTAATGGAGGGGTCGGGTCTTCAATTGAAAGCCCCAGCCTCTGGGTGGTGTGAATGTCTTGCCTTTCAGTATTTTGTGGGGTGGTCCCTTCATGAAATCGGGGACTGGACACAGCCAGGTGAGCGCTTTGCGCCTGGTGATCTCAGCAAGGTTTCTGGTGAATTTGGATCATCTGGACGACATCGGCTTCTGCCAAGGCGCCGGAATCGAACCTCCGGGAGTATATGGGTGGCGCGTTTTTTTGGGGTGCTGGTGCCCTTTTCGGATGGCATTAAAGGGAAACCAAAAGGAACCCTAAGCTCATTTTGGGGGTCCATATCCTATATTTTGAGAGATCCCTATTTGGACTCTTCTAAAACTGTCAGTTTTGGACTCCCCAGATATGAAATCTCAAAGTCATGCCAAAAGGCGCCTCCGGATGCTGGGTTCCACCTTTGAGGATGACCGACGGTGTATGACGGTAACTTGTCAAAAAAAAGGCCAGCGAAGTCCCTTACACGGACGCCTTTTTCCTGTGCTCTGCAACGGTTTTGTGCACATGGCGCAGTGTAGCTTGTGGGTACTTTGTCGTCTGAAGTATTGCGGATGCGGTGAAGGATATTAGTGAGGGGCAATGCGTACAGTCGTAGGTGCGGAAGGAGATCCTCTGGTTCCTGACCTTGCCCCACATGTTTCGGAAACTAGACACAGCCAATCTAGCATGTAAGCTTAAAATGTACCAAAACGTACAGTTGGGCAACAAGCACAAGCAGCTTGCACACTGGTTGTTGGGGGAAGGTGATTTGCACATTTGGCTGTGAGTTGTCAATAGTTGGTTTTTGGCATGGTCTGGGGTTGTACCAGTCCTTTGATCAGAGCCTCGGGCCTGATGTCCATTGGTTTTGGGTTGGGCGATGCTGACCCAGGTGTCATAACTAAGGGCCTGGCTGATTCATCCGGGGTCAACGGTACGGTGGAAGCCACCATGCCAACCGCACCACGGTAGAGTACGCCAATTTGGGTGTGTGTTTCCGCTGTTCCCCTGCCAGAAGTGGTGGATGACCTGAACGCGGCCCTGTCCGGGGCCTGAAGGCTCTTTGGGTTTGGAAGGAAATGGGGCGGGTCAAACGCAGAGGATAAATAGCCCTGGACACTCAGAGCCTCATAAAATTGGGCTCGCATATACATTTGGGCAAACCTCATTTTTAAGGAGGGTTCAGGGATGTTTACGCATGTCCACTGTGGGACACAGGGTGTTGCGCCTGTCTTAAAATCGTTTCTCCTTCGGGTGTCCCAAACAAAAAGCTGGACCCTCTGCCCAAACTTCTAGGCTGCACCCCCCCCCAGACTTCCCCCTGACCCCCTCTCACCCCCTCTCACTCTCACCCCCTCCCTCTCCCCCCCCCTCTCCCCCTCCCCCTCTCAAACCCTGGGGGGGGGGGGAGGGGTCGAGAAATTCGACGTTTCGGGCCCGTCCGCCAGCCTCGAGCTCCCAGGCCGGAGGACATCCGCTGCTTCAGCGCGCGGAAGGTGCCCAACAGCTTCGATGCCAAGCACGCCCGCCGCCCGGAGCGAGGGTCGAAGGACCCGCGCAAGCGGGGCCAAAGGGCTCCCTTCGTCTTTTGAATCCGGTGAAAAACCACCAACAAGGGCCGAGGGGGCACCAAAAGGGCACCAAAAACCCCCCCCCCCAAAAAAAAACACACCAAAAGGGCACCCTGAAAAAGAAGAGAAACAAGCACGCGCAAAGACTGGGCCGTCTGGTGGAATTGGGTGACACAAAGCACAAGCAACTTCGGGGGGCAACGCCGTATGGGTTCTGTTGTAGGCTCAACTCCTTGGAAATTCCTCCAGCTCCAAATTCTTAGCTCCGAAAGTGGCAAGGCCCAACTTCAGGGCCACAGCCTGTTGAGTCACATGGCCATGGGTCATAGCCTATGCCTCGATTTTGGGGCGGATGAACACCCATGTGTCGACCCATTTTGATGCTCACCAGGGGTACAGGGCTTTGACCCACAGCCACATGGTTTGCGTCAGGGGTCTTTTGTTTTAGGCTCCCCTTGCATTTCATTTACCTGCGGTTTTCAGTGTACATGTTCCATGGCGCCTTTGTAGTTGGCCGGGTTTGTGAAAGCAAGCGCTTGACATGCGAGCACGGGGTGTGGAACCCACTTGAGGCGTCCTTTTTAGACTGGGATCCTTCATTCATTGAAGACAGTTCTATTCACGCGCCTCATTTGACCTTTGACCCCTTAGAACGAGATCCTTCTTGGCTTGGGCTGGGTTCTTTGCAAGCTTCCTAATTTCGAGAGAAGGGTTGAGGCTAAGCTTGCCTGTTAGGGTCCCTTTCTGGTTACTCTGATCATCAAGCGCCACTCGCCCCAAACCTTGTTGCAGCCAATGTCGTTTTAGTTTGAACACATGCCCCGCGGCTTGATTTGTCCATGAACCTCAATCTGGCTGATGCACTGGTTTTGCGATGGAACCAAGAAGAAGCAAGACTCCTTGCCCACATATCACCCTAGCACAGGTGCACGTGGGTGCATCTTTTTCAGAAAAAGGGAAAACCCACCCATTTTCGGGGGTTCACACTGTTAGAGGAAAGCCCGCATTTGTCAAGGGTTCCTCGCGGCAAATTCCAGATTACTTCAACGAAGCGGCTGATGCGCGCGCGGAAATCGAGGCGTGCTCCTGGCGCGAGTGCCCCGTGAGAGCGTGCATTCAGACGTGAGAGGGATGACGATTTCGTTGCACATGTGTGTGTGTGTGTGAAGCAGTGCTTTGTTCAGTAGCATTGGGACCTACCCGCCAGACAGGTTCTCAAACATTTTTTAACCACCCTCTCTAAGAAGGGGTCTTGGTTGTTTCCCTAGCATTCAAAGGGGGTTCTTGACAGGGCTGATACTCTTGCTTGAGAGGCGAGGGTGTTTCAATTGGAGGCATTCGCCCTTGCGAGTTGGAGGTACGAGTACATTTTGCCTACACATCTCGCGCAGCCCTTGAGCAGAGCCCTGAGATGGGTGGACCCACATGGAAAGAGTCGGAAAAAACTGCTTTGCCACGCCCCGAAGCACAGCTCTAGTGTAGGCTGTTTTGGTCTATTTTAGTCTTTTCAAGGGGGTGTGGTTGGCTGCTGCTGCTGCTGGTGGTGGTGGTGGTGGTGATGGTGGTGGTGGTGGTGGTGGTGGTGGTGGTGGTTGGCGGTGGTGGTTGGTGGTGGTGGTGGTTGGTAGTGGTGGTTGGTGGTGGTGGTGGTGGTGGTGGTGGTGGCGGTGGTGGTGGTGCTTACTTGTATTGGCATGCTTGGCATTGTTTAGAGGATTGTATATTTGCACGCCGGAAAACTTGCGTGCTTCGGAAGCGAACACGAACAAAGGCAGCACCTGTTGTGCCCACACACACATACAGACACAGCTAATAGTTAATGTGTATATATATATATATGCATACATAGATACCTACCTTTCCTCTCTTCTAGTTGAAGGTGTCAACTCTACTCTGTGTGCCTCGTTCTTGCATCTTATGCCTGAAAACACTATAAGATACAGTGTTTTCGTTGGTTGTTTTACCTTCTATATGACAGCAAATGTTTGTTTCATATATGATGTAACGGCCCGGCATGTAAAGATGAATTCGGTTTGCGTTCCGCCAGATTTCGGCTTGCGGGCTATGTCCACTGGCCACTCCTCCGAAGGAGTGTGCCAGTGCGATTTGTGCCTGACCCTTAGCAGGGTCAGGGATCTGTGCCGAGGGTCTAGCTCCTACTTTTTCTGGAGCCGGGCCCTCGAGCGTGTGAGGTTGCTGCAGGGGGAGATCCTGGACCTTCGGGATCGGGATCACTGGTTGACAACCCAGCCCCCTGCAGCAACCCCTCCTGGGACGGGAGGGGTAGGAGGTGCTCCTTCGGAGGGAGCATCTCCTGTGGGAGCTCGAGCTCCTGAGGGAGGACCGGGGGACCTGGCAGTCCCCCCGGCCTCCGACACAGGTTCAGCGGCAGAGGCTGCTGGGGCCAAAGAGGCCGGTGAGGAGAGAGTGAAGGAGAAGAAGAAAAGGAAGAAAGAGGAGAAGAGGGAGAAGGAGAAGAAAAGGAAGAGGTCCAGGTCATCGAGGGGGAAACGCGAGGAGAGCGTAGAGGTCACAAGAAGTCCGGGAGGAAAGGAATCGAAAAGAGGAAGGGAAGAGTTTCCGTGGCACCAGGTCGGAGGTTCGGTGGGGGTCAAGGAGGAGCCCGTCGCGAGCGAGGAGGAAGAGGAGCGCCCACGAGAAGCCAGACATCGGACCCCCACCTCTCCGGTGTCATCAAGCAAGGAGGATAAGGCGAAGAGGCATAGGAGCACTTCGAGTGAGGGGCACATCCGGCGGCTTATTGCAAAGGACAAGGAGGCCACTGAGGAACGGGCTGAAGGTGAAGAGAGGAGAGAGGAGGCATCAGACAGCAGAGAGAAGGAGGAGATCAGGAGGGACCTTAGCCGGTCCCCTTTGCGGAGGCTCCCGGGGGGCTTCATCGAGGACCTGCTGATTCGGCCCCGAGAGGAGTACAGAGGTGAGGAAAGGAGAGGAAAGAACAAAGGGCGTAAGAAAAGAGAGCAGCTGAGGAGGTTCAGGGAGCGCTTTGGAGGAGGAAAAGAAAAGGCGGTGGAAAGCACTGGGGAGGCCGAGGAGATTGATGCCTCCGAAGGTGGGCGGTAGAAGAGGAGCTGCTAAGGCCAAAGCAGCTGCAAAGGGGAGAGCTAAAGCCCTGGCCCGGCTGCCGGTAGCTCCTCCTAGGGTCCGAAGGAGACCAGCTGGGGAGGAAGAGAGAGAGGAGCCGGCCGTGTGGAGGAGGCCGGCTGGTAGACAGGTGGATCCAGTTGAAGAGAGGTTTGAGAGAGGAGAGAGTGTGAACGTGGTGGAGTTGCCGAGACATTTGATTAGGCCAGGCCAGAGCTTGATCGTGGTTGAAGGCAACTACTGGGAAGCCCCCGTGACGCTATGTGGAACAGTGGAGAGAGTCGAAGAGGACGGAGCAGGTGTCGTCGTGGAGGTTCGGCTGCTGGGCACGGAGAACGAGGACCTCCTGAAGTGGTCGACAGGGAACCCAGCGAGCCGATGCAAGCTCCACATGTGCGGGGACGGTTGCGTGGCAGGCCTATGCGAGGACGGGCTGGTCCACGTGAAGAAAGTCAGGCTTCGCCTCCCAGGAGCAAGGGAGGCGTGGCTGGACAACCTGGTGGGGCATGTGCCGTTTCAGGTGGACGACATGGCGGCGTTGAGAGAGAGGGGAAACGAGCTGGAGAAGGAAGATTTGAAGGCTGGAAGAAAGAGCAAGAGGGCAAAGGAAAAGGAGGCAGGAGGTATGGAGAAGAAGAGGGCGAGAAGCGAGTCAAGCTCTTCGACCAGCTCATCCAGCCGGAGGAGAAAGAAGAAGAAGAGAAAGAAAAAGAAGGCGAAGAGAGGAGTAAAGGTCGAAGCAACAAAGGAGCTGAGCGCCGTGTTTGGAAACACCGGGATGGACCCGGATGTCAAGGTGAGGAGACAGGTGGTGAGGAAGGTAAAGAAGAGCCTGAGGCTGCTGCAGAGACAGATGGACACCTCCGATCGGGATTCTTCAGGAGAGGAGTCGACAGAGGAGGAGGACGCGGGGGTGTTCGAGGAGGCGCAGAGGATCAGGAGAGTTGGAGTAAGAGGCCCAGGAGTTTTGGCAGCGGCGTCCATCAACGAGATGAAGAAGTCGTTGGTCGCGGCTTCAGGGCAACTGTGGGGCCAAAGCAGAGATCTGGCGCCGGTGGGAGTGCACTATTTCAGGACGGTGCTTCAGCTGAAGCTCCATGGTGCGATGGCCCGAGAGCCTGGCCTATGGTGCGGACCTCCTGGCCCAAGGGAGGGTCGCCGAGGCGATCGACCTGTTGCTGCAGCGCCTGAAATCGTTGGAGCAGGTCTCTCAGGGGATGCCGTGGCAGACTGCTCAGAAGATGGAGCTGTGCCCCTTAAAAACACCTCAAGTAGCAACCCGGGCGGAGGCGGCGATCGCGATAAAGGAAGCCCGCGGAGAAGGTGCCTGGCAGAACCCTGGAAAAGGTGCTCCTGGGAGGGAGCAGCAACCGAAGGGTGGTTGGCGAGAGCCAGGAAAAGGACGAGACGGCAAAGGCAAGAGCAAGAAGGGCAAGGAGGAGAAGGGATCCAAAGGTGCAGAGAAGAAGTAAGGACGGCCGGAGTCAGCAAAGAGGAGGAAGCGCCAGCCTGGAGATCTCCTACGAATGGGAGAGGTGAGGACCGGACTATTACAGAGGAGGATGAGACCTGGGACCACAGCGTCCCTCAGAAGATGACAGACCGTGGAAGAATTCAGGTACTGCCATGCATGAAGGGAGCCAACAGCGCTCCTAGCCAGGGGATGTTGCCTCTGCCCTCGGGCCGACCCGAGGTAGGGGCGCAGAAGGGAGTAGGTGAGATACTGGGGGGCCTTACCTTTGGTGAGGGAGCAGTTCGTTTGGGAGCATCGCTGTTTCAATATTTGTCTTCAAGCTGCATGACCAAGTCCATTGGCAACATCTTTCCCTTGCCATCAGCCTTTTGCTCCCTCAAGAAACTATTCCCGAACAAAAAGGACGAGGAGAGGAGTATTCTTCAGAACATGATTTGGTCATTGAATCATCTTAATGGCTCCCCAGTGTCCATGGTTGGAGATGGGACCCCCTGCCAACAGCGGCTTTTGGGGGGTCTCATGGATGAAGCGTGCGCCGCTGGTCGGTGGCTGGAAAAGGCGGAGTTCCTGGACTGGGGTGAGTTCTTCAGAGTCAAAGGGGTTGATTATCAAGGAGAGGAGGTCAAGGTTGCACGTGCGGTTTCTTGGGAGATGTTATCCCCTGCATTGCCCTCGGAAGTTGGGACGGTTGCCCTTTCTGACGTTTGTGATGCAGGGTGCCAGCATTATGTTGAGAACTTCGAGAACTATCTTCTCCCGGTTGAGGACCAGGTGTTCACGAAAGGGCCAAAGGTCATGGTTCCTCCCGGGGATTGGGAGGAGCTCGCAACAAACCTGGTTCAACGAGGCATTTGCAAAGTTATTGAGGAGTCAGAGGTTTATCACGTGCAGGACAAGCCCCTGTTGAATGGTCTCTTCGGGGTTTCAAAGGGCGACTGGTCAGGCGAGATTGAGGTCCACCGGCTCATCATGAACTTGATACCCTTGAATCGTATTTGTCGGGGTATTGAGGGCGACATTGCTACTCTTCCTTCGTGGAGTTCTATGGGGCCACTGTCGCTGGATATCGAGGAGGACCTTCTCATTTCAAGCGAGGACGTGAGATGTTTCTTTTACATTTTTAAAGTACCCGTTTCTTGGCATAGGTTCATGGCCTTCAACCGCCCCTTGCCTAAAAGCCTCTGTGAAGGGAAATCTGGTACGTGTTACCTGGCTGCGACTGTTCTTCCGATGGGTTTCAAGAATTCTGTGAGCATTGCCCAACATGTACATCGGTATGTTTTGCGGCAGGGCTTGATGAACTCTGGTCGCCTAAATGGAGGGGATCAGGAGTTGAGGCGTGACAGGCCCTTTCCTTCTTCTAGCAACATGTTCCGTATTTATTTGGACAATTTTGACGAGCTCATAAAGGTGAACAAGGACCTAGCCGCCACGGTGAAGGGAGAGTTGACTCCTACTGTGTTAGCCCTTCAGGAGGCGTATGCAAGTTGGAACATCCCAAGGCACCCAAAGAAAGCTGTGGCCCTTCAATCTCAGGCAGAAGTACAGGGAGCTGTGGTTGACGGGGTGCGTGGCGTTGCTTATCCAAAGGTGGAGAAGATCCTGAAGTATGTGGTTTTGGGGCTGAAATTAGCCGGTTCTACCTTTAGCACGCAACGACAAGCTCAGATTGTGGGAGGGGGTTTCGTTTATATGACTATGTTCCGTAGGCCCCTCCTTTCGGCACTGAACCACATATGGTCTTATATTAAGAGCTTCGAAGGTTTGAGAGACGGATCCGTCCTACGTACTCCTGAGTTGGTCAAGATGGAGATCTTGAGGTTTGTGGGTTTGGTTCCCCTTGCACATTTTGATTTCCGCACAGAGATCCAGGGGATGGTTACAGCCAGTGACGCTTCGTCGACGGGGGGAGGCGTAACCCGGAGCAAGGGCCTGAGCCCGTGGGGAGTTATAGCCTCCCAAAGACCACAGCGAGGTGACCTTCCTGAACCCTTTGATTTTTGCGGGGTGGTGACCATTGGGCTCTTCGATGGCATTGGTGCACTTCGAGTTGCGGCGGAGGCCTCGCGGCTGCCATTGCTGGGTCACATTGCTGTCGAGAAGAACGCAGAGGCCAGGAGGGTTACAGAATCCAGGTATCCTGCCTCCCTTTTGTGGGAGGATGTTACTACGGTGGATGCCGAGGTGGTAAAGGGTTGGGCCACTCGTTTTTCGCAGGCAAGTTTGATCATCGTGGGAGCGGGGCCCCCGTGCCAAGGTGTCAGTGGACTCAACGCTGACCGTAAAGGGGCCCTTAAGGACGAACGGTCGTGCTTGTTCGCTCATGTTCCTAGGATACTGGAACTGGTTAAACAGGCTTTTCCCTGGTGTCAAGTTCGCCTTCTTATGGAGTCAGTTGCTTCAATGGACGACACAGACCGTCTCCTTATGTCAGCATCTGTGGAGCTATCACCCGTTCGAATTGATGCAGCAGGAGTTTCGGTCGCACATCGACCTCGACTTTACTGGTTTGATTGGGAGGTCCCTGACTTGCCAAACGTTCATAGGAAGGACGGAGCCGTGGTTGACATCGAGCTTGACGCCTCTATTGACCCCAGCATTTATTTAGAACCTGGATGGTCCATGAGGGGAACTGAGAAACTACCGACCTTTACCACATCTCGACCTCGAAATTTCCCTGGGCACAGGCCGGCGGGACTCAACAAGTGTTCCCCTGAGGAGCGTCAGAGATGGGAAGACGATTCGTTTCGTTTCCCCCCTTACCAGTACAGGACTTGTTACTGTCTTTTCAACAAGGCTGGCGAGGTTCGTCTACGGGAGCGAGAGGCAATGATGGGGTTTCCCATCAACTACACTGAGAGCTGCCTCCCGAAAAGTGGTGCAACTCCCACACAAAGGACTGATACATGGCTCACGCTTATTGGTAATTCGTGGAACGTGACAGTTATCACATTTCTTTTGAGCTGCTTGGGATCAGTATTGGGTCTATGCCCGCAATTGACCCCTTCAGACGCAGTGGAGGCTACAAGGCCTGGCACAGGACGCAACTTTATGGATTTTTTGCAGCGACCCCCCCTATCGTTTTCCCGGAAAAGAGGGTCGAAGGAGGAAGAGCTCACTCTCGCCAAGAAATTCCTCAACCATGTCAGTTTGAAGGGAGAGGATATTTTAGTCCACTCGTCCGCCGAGGAACAGTTGAAGTTTCATAGGTTGCGGGCTAGTATCCCTTCGCAGTGTTGGCGGTGGGTGACTGTTGCTGGGTGGGGTTGGAAAGGAGACCCCGAGCACATTAATTGCCTGGAGCTCCGGGCCATTTTAACCAGTGTCAGGTGGTGGATTGAGAAACGCAAAGTGGCTCGTGCCAAATTTATTCACTTGACGGACAGTTTAGTATGCATGCATTCCCTTGCCCGAGGGCGTACCAGCAGTCGCAAACTTCGCAGAACTTTGACCCGCATCAATTGTCTTCTTTTGGCCTCCCGTTGTTTTCCGGTGTGGGCGTATGTCCACACGTCCCAGAATCCAGCCGACCGACCGAGTCGGCGTAGTGTCCGGAAAAAATGGGTAAAATGAGCCCTAAATGTGTGGAAGGGAGAACCAAAGAAGACAGGGTCAAAATTCGCAAGCGACTTGGAAGTTTGAAACAAATCACAGTTCAACCTGCTACTCGTGTCCGGTATGACCGAGCTTTGAAAGGATTTTTCTCCTTCCTCAAATTTAATGGGAAGGTACTTCCGACTGATCAATCCTTTTTGGATGAGTTGGTCGGCGAATATTTGGAGCATTTATGGGCAAATGGTGAAGGCAGGGCCCTGGGGTCTGATACTTTAGCCGCCATACAAGATGCGCAACCCCAGGTACGAGGCAAGCTCCAGCAAAGCTGGAGGCTCATGAAGACTTGGGTTTCCAATGAAATGCCAAATCGTGCGCCTCCAATTTCCGAAGATATCCTTCACGCGCTAGTTGGTCTCGCGCTTTTCCGGAAGGATCCGCTTTTTGCCCTTTCGCTCCTTGTCGGTTTCTATTCCATGTTGAGGACTGGCGAAATTTTGGGTATCATGAAATCCCATGTTTCTCCGGGAGTTGGATTTACTCCCGCAGTCATTTCACTGGGTCTTACCAAGGCTGGTAAGCGGCAGGGTGCTGCCGAAAGCGTCACCGTGTCAGTCGCGGATGTAGTTCGGCGACTCTCACAGTGGAAAGAGTCCTCGGCGACTCCCGTCAATTTGTGTCCCGCGCCCCATACGTGGCGTCAGAAGTTCGCGCAGTATCTCAAGGATCTGCACTTGGACGCTTTTGAATTTCGTCCATACAGTTTAAGGCGCGGTGGGGCAACCTTTTGGTTTCGCAAGCATGGGTCTTTGGATAAGATTCTTGTCCAAGGACGTTGGCAGGCTCAGAAGACTGCCCGTATTTACCTCAATGAAGGTTTAGCCATTCAGGCGGAAATGAAAACACCCAACCATCCGGATGTGGGGGTGTTCAAAAGCCAGTATCTGGCCGCGGTCAAAGCATCGTTGCCGAAATTTGAGCATGCCAAAGGCAGGACTGGGGGACGTGGAAAGAAGGTCAAAAGTGAGGTCGAGGGGTAAACCGACCCTTTTCAAAACCGCCCTGAGGGATGACGGCGGTTGGAGTTTTAAAGAGTCGAGGGGTAATCCGACTCAAAAGACTCAACCCCCTTTTAGTTTCTGGGCTTGGCCAGACAAAGTGGGGTGGTCTTTAATCAAGGCTGGGGCTGGGGCTTGCCTGGGCTTGGCCAGGAAGACCCCGGGGTCTTGAAGAACCTAGTGGGAAGAGGTGTTAGTTTTCAATACAAGTTTCAAGTTTCAATTTTTCAGACAAATCTGGTCTTGCAGCGCGGAAAAAGAGCAAGCCAGAATGAATCTTTGATGTAACGGCCCGGCATGTAAAGATGAATTCGGTTTGCGTTCCGCCAGATTTCGGCTTGCGGGCCACACCCTCCCGCCCAGGTCAAAAGTGAGGTCGAGGGGTAAACCGACCCTTTTCAAAACCGCCCTGAGGGATGACGGCGGTTGGAGTTTTAAAGAGTCGAGGGGTAATCCGACTCAAAAGACTCAACCCCCTTTTAGTTTCTGGGCTTGGCCAGACAAAGTGGGGTGGTCTTTAATCAAGGCTGGGGCTGGGGCTTGCCTGGGCTTGGCCAGGAAGACCCCGGGGTCTTGAAGAACCTAGTGGGAAGAGGTGTTAGTTTTCAATACAAGTTTCAAGTTTCAATTTTTCAGACAAATCTGGTCTTGCAGCGCGGAAAAAGAGCAAGCCAGAATGAATCTTTATATATATATATAGGCACATCATATGCACATATATTAATATATATATATATATTGTGTGTGTGAGCAACGGTCAGCCTTACGAAGGCATCGGCTTTGGGTAGGCTGCTACTGATTTTGCAGCTTGTGGGGGAGGGGTGGTATCGTGCTTTTTGTGTAGGTCCCTATCGTTTCTGGTTGTAAGTTGCAGAAAGCGGTTGAGCAAGGAACAAATAAGCCAAGGATTGCTTTATTTGAACCGGAGGCGGCCAACGCCTTCATGTCATGAAGTGGATGGAAAATCACAGGTGCGCCCTTGCTTGAACTGCATGCAACAACTCAGCTTGGCCAAAACCATTTTGGAAAAGACGATGAGGACCTGTGTAAGGTGGATTTGATTTGAACACCCACCCACCCACACCATGGCAGCTCCTACATGCAGAAGAAGCCCTGGTGTCTCTGCGGAGCTTGGCGATAGATACGACCGAGAACAAGTCAATGGCCTGAAGCCTCAAGGCCAAGTTGGCGGCCAAGTTGGCGGAGGGATTCATCGGTTTATGGCCATGCAGGGCGCCACCCAGCATTGTTTCCGCGTGGCAGCCTGTGAGCTGGCAGTCCATGTGGAAGTCAACGCGCGGCTGTTTCAGCTAAGCCGGCGGGCGGGCTTACTTCAGGAGGTCCTAGCAGCTCAGTCCATCGAAATTGGGCCAGGAGATGGGGAAGCGGCGCCTCCACGTCCCGCGCTCAACCACGTTCGTTTCTTTTTGCCCAGGGAAATCGGCCACGTTCCTGTGAACCACTCCAGCTCGCTCGCTTCTCCTCCCATGACAAAGCAACGTCGACAGCGTCGCCGGCAAGGACTGCAAAACGCTTCCCAAAGGAGAAGCCGCGTACTTCCGGGCGCTGGTTATGCGTGCAACTACTTAAAGGGCTTCAGCCTCAGCAAGGCTGCTCCGAAGCCTGAGTTCTTGCACGAGTCCCTCCGTTGCACCCTGTGCGCCAACGCCCAAACGCTTGCGGACGTTTTTTTAGTCTTGTCCTTGCAGGCGGGGCTGTCGTGGTGACTTGCGCACTCCTTGGCCACTGCGCGTGTCAGGGAAACGGGATGACACGGGCTGTGGATCTTCAGGCCAACAGCCGGCTTTCAGGCCCTGGCTCTCAATTAAGTTTTATGTTTAATAAAGAAGATAGGGAGGGTTCGACTTGCCAGGGCCAACACCGGAAATTGGGAAGTTTGAAAACGCTCTTATAGACAGGGTTTGGGCGCATAGGAGAAAGATCAGCTTCAGACTTTTGAAGTAGAACAAGGCTGCAAGCTCCGCGATGTTTTCAATTGCTTGCGATGGCTAGGGGCCAACCCCGTTGAAGGGTTGTTAAGTCAAACTTGACTGTCCGCCCGCCAGCCAACCGCGTCACGCAGCCGCGCGCCATGCAACAGTGCCATGGAAGTTTATGAGAAGAACCCGAAGGCCCCACAGATTGCCTGTGAAACCTCACCCGCCTGAGGCAGTGATGGACCCTTCACCCCGGCGCCCCGGCAATGTCCAGCGGCGAGGTTTATCGTTTGAGTTGGGGTGGCCCTCAGAGTGGGCGTTGGAATTTCATGCAAGGCGCGACAAAGCCACTTTGTTTGTGGAGGGTTCCAAGAACAGGTACTGTATCAACCGTCTGAAGAAGCTTCCCACCCTTTCATGTCAGGTTGTTTTTTACACAAAACATTGGGGACGTGTGACCTTTTGCTGTGTCGAACATAGATTCTGGCACGACCTGGTTTGAACTGGCTTTCGGGTTCAGCCTGAAGAATGTAAACGGTAGAACTGCTTCCCCCCCCCCCTTCTTGACTCGTGTCGGGGTTTGCTTTGCTCTGTCGGTGCGTGGGAGCTACAACCTCTGAAGTTGGGGCCGCCAAGAGATCTATTTTAATTTGCCCAGAGTTTCAGTTGTTCCGAACTAGATTTGACATGCTTGATTTAAGATCAATGCACTCGGACTACAGTTTCTGTTTTGGAAGCCGCCTAGCCAACAGTATTTCTTCTATCCGCCATGTGAAATGATCATGTCAGCTACTGTCAGTGGCAAGAATCTCAAAATATATATGCGGTGAGTGCCATGCTTATCTCGTCAAGGTGTTTGAGGCGCATTCTTCTTGGACACATGACAGCACCCCCAATGTGGGTTTGCGACCTTCGCCATGAGGGGTTCCTTTCTTCCACGCCCTCTTCTTCTACTTCCTGTAACTTGTACATATATATATATATGTATATAATATATGTACATTGTATATATATATATATATGCTCACACCCACCCCCATGATCTACCTCCATATATGTATATATACATATATATGTTCACCCAAACTTTTGGCGGTTTTCCAGGCCCTTCCTCTCAAGTTTGCTCCACGACCAGGAAGACCTGGCGGAAAAGCTGGGCGCAGTGATGCGGCAGTTCGAAGGCGGAGGGCTGTGGGCACTCAAATCCCACTCCACTGAGACCAGGGTCTGCGCCTTCCAAAAAGGGAGTGGGTTAAAAGCATCGCCTTGGGAAACTTAGTTTGAGTTTAGTTTCTCTTTGTTAAGGGGTGAGAAAGGAGTGTAGGAGCCTTTTGGGCTGGTTCCACCATTGGGCCCTTGACCATGGAGCCGTCCAACTCTGAGTGCTGTCAGCTTGGCCCAGGATTTGTTTAGGAGAGGCTCATATGCGGAAGACATGCACGTTGGACATAATCCCTGGTCACGTGAAAAAGGGCGACTTGATAACATCGGCGCGTTTTGAGGATAGCCGTTTATAAGTGACAATGATATTGACGCCGATGAAGCCTCCCAAGCCCCCTCGCTGATGGCAGGCTGTCACTCCTTCCACAATTTCACCCGACTCAAGGCGTGGACCATGTTGCTGTGCTGCTTGTTGCTCAAGGAGCGCAACACTGCAAGCAAGAATTTGAAAGGGTCTCCGGTCTCTTACAAGGGTGAACCGCGGAATCTGCTTGCACTGCTTGTGTACGGGGAAACAGCACATGCAGGAATTATTGGAGCACCAGGGCAGAGATCCATATACGTCCCTTTCGTACGGTTCGAACGGTGCCTGGTGGGGCAGGAATATATTATGACCTGTGGACTCTGGACTCAGTTTGCTTGGTGACTGCAAGTTGATTTGATTGCCTGTCAAGGCGCAACGTGTCCTTGCTTGAAGCTGTGATGGCGGTCTACGGGCTATGAATCTTCATACGCCCCTTCAAGCTCTCGTGTTGATGAAGTATTTTTAAACATGCGGGGGTGGACAAGTGTTCATGAAACTGGTGTCCACCAAAGGCGGCCCAATTCAACCCCATACCCAAAGGGGTCTTTCTGGGGCCATTTCCATCGCCCATCTGAATCTGGGAGGCGTCAGACTGCCTGCCCCGGGCCGAGAGAGGCCAGTGGACATTTGCTCACAAAAAGTCGTGTGCATGTCTGCGCTCAGGTGAGGATGGAGGCAAGGGCAAGGGCAAGGGTAAGGGCAAAGGCGGCAAAGGCAAAGGAAAAGGAAAGGATAAGGGCAAAGAGAAGCGGCGAGACAAGGGCAAGAAGCGGAAGGCGCGCTCAGATCAGGGCTGGCTGAGTGTGATGCCCTTCCAATAAAGATCCAGTATTTAACTTGAACCCTCTTGAAAGCGGGATAACAGCTCACGCTATGGGTGTTCCAGGATGCGGGACCCCTCCCACCCCCTCTCCTCGTTGAGGAAGACCATGCAAGGAACAGACAACATTACCAGGTACTGCCTCAGGCTTGGGTTAGCCCTTTCCCATGGGTTTCGCTGGCGGCTGCGCCTGGTCCAGTTCCCGTTCGTATTTATTCTTGAGTCTTCACATGCATGTCAATTCTTGGAAGGCCTCTCAATGGTTGGACATCCATACTGCGGCATACCCCTTTCCATTTTGTTTTCAAGACCGATGCACTTTGCGACTTTCAGTTTCCTTTTGGTGGGGTGATCGTTAACGGGCTTTTCATTTCACAGGCGGTCCTTTTTTCAGGGTGCTCTTCCTGGAGTGATTTGAAAGGGAATAGCCTGCCTTTTCTCCCGGGGTTTCCTTGTTTCAAGAACGCGCGGACATGGGCAGAGGACAACACCACTGGGGTATTGTGGTTTTGGGCATACTTGTTTTATTGTGGTCACATTGTTGTTGGGTGTTCGCACGAATTTCAATGGTTGGAAGCCCCGTCACAAAGTGTTGGGCATCCATCCCCCATGTAAGCAAATACAGTTTTCAGAGGGTGCCATGATTAAGAAAATCATGGCCACTTGTATTTTTATCATGTTTGTTTGATTTCGGGGGGATAGTGCATAAATGCGGTTCAGTCGGTTCACAAATTCGGAGCTGCGCTCAGGCCGAAGCCCTGGCCGAAGAAGTGGAAGAGCCAGCGGAGCCCCAAGCGGAGCCCCAAGCGGAGCCTCAAGCGGAGGAAGAGGAACCGGAGCCCCAAGCGCAGGCACGGGCTGGGGAGAGGAGGTGGGGGGAGTTCTTTCTTGGAGGAGTACCCCACCCCCCCCCAAAACAAGAGAAAGAGGTTGGGTTTTCCTTAAAAATTTGTTTGGAACCTCCAAGAAAGGGTGGTTTTATCCAGTTGTTTCCCTTCAAACCACTCCAGGCGGGTCCTTAAACGGAAGCCCGAAAGCTTGCTGGGCCCTTTTATCTCAAGGAATGCTTTTTTTGGGAGTTGACGCCTTTTTGGGGGTGGCTGAAAGGAAAACCATGTGGTTTCCTTGGGACACGCTGACAGAGCCTTGCCACCATCAGGCAAAAGCAGAAAGGCCGCCAAAACGAATTGAGATTCGGTCAACATATCCTGTAGTCCATGGTGCATTTGGGCTTGTGACTTGGGGGAATTTCTAAATGTCAACCACGACAACCAGCGCCTCGCCTGCCCCAGTTTTACGGTGTCCAGAAGGGTAAGTGTAGATCTTGACGCGCTCCAGCGAGGTGGTTTCAGGTGAACGAACCCGGATACTTGGAATGAGGATGCCGCACATCGTTTTTGCACGTGTGGTCTAAATATGGGGAAGTCCATGAAGGTGCCTTACTGAGAGTTTGAATAAGTCAGGTGATTGTAGTGCCTCGTGCGAATCATTCTTTCATTCGCGGTAACACCGAGCTCACCATGATGCAGGTTCTTTCCCTTTGGATCCCTTTCAGGTTCTATTGCAGAAGTGGTCAAACAATTTGGGTGTATTTCCCTCTCACCTCTCCGTTGCTTCAAAATCAGGCAGGCGAGGATGCAGGCGCGATGGGTAGCAAGGTGTGGAGAGAGCTTGCAGATGGGAGGATTCACGGCCTCCAACCAGTTCCTCTCAACCCCAGATTCATACACCTGGCAGACTCAGGGATGGAATTCCCCGCCCAAAAGAAGGGAGAAGGAATCCCTCGAACATGAGATTGTCCCCCGTTTTCCGTATTCATCAACCTGGGTTTCTGTCCTGAATTCTGGGGACGTGCAGGTTTGATTAGCTGCCATTTTGCCTGTGAGATGGGATCAAGGAAGGCGCGAGCGAAGAAGACAAAACTTGGGCGGTTTCCAGCAAACCTGCCGTAGGACTCGAGTTCCTTTGTGAACTGTGTATACCCATTCGGTAGATGAGCGACTGCCGTTATTCACAGAAGACTACGGCAAAGGCCGGAAGCTTCTTTTGCGTAGCATATTGAATTAAGGTGCAAGCCGGGGTGGGAACACCCCCAAAACGAGGGGCCATAACATAACATATAGGTGGTTGAGACCTTGGAAGACGAGGTCAATGAGCTCAGACCAGGCCCATCCATTCAACGTGGTAAATCACTGAAGCTCAAATATGCCCATGTCCATGTTTTTGTTTAGATACCTTGGCAAATTCCAACGTCACTCATACAGAAAGAGGGTAGATCAGTGATGGTTCAACCCCTCCGAGTTGGGCTTTGTGCAGGCCGCGGTTTGCCAGCCGCTGCCCCAGTTTAGTGAGACCAAAAGGAGTGTGTTCAGGTCCAAGATAGCCCTGCCAAGGGCTTCGGTTTCCCTTTCCAAGAAGGGTATCGGCAAAGATACAAACTCGAAGGTTTCCATAGGGGCCCTTTTCGGACAGAAGCACCCCCCCCAAAGGAATCGCTACACTCAAAGGAAAGACGCTTGCTTCTTTTTTCAGCTGGTTTTGGGAGCGTCCACAGAATGGCTGCCAAAACGAGGCAAGTCGGAGCCACACCTATTCCAAGTTGCGGGGGGTGGGGCTTGGGGGATTTGGCTCTCGCCCAGGAAATCGTGGAGGCACCGGACAGTGCGGCAGCTGCGGCCGCAGCCTCGACGAGGGTTGCTTCCCGCATGAATACGTATGAGGCCAAAGAAGACAACGTTTAAGCACGGGTATAATATAATCATTAGTAGTTGGTACTAATGTACGGGTACTCCCCAAACCCCGTGGTTTCCTTTTGGTGTCCCCTCAAACCAGCCTTCAAAAGGGTACCAAGCCTAACAAAGCACGCGCTACGGAATCAATTCAGCACTTGTTAAAACCAATTAGGATCGGGCTCTGATGAGACCCACAGGTTGCTTCCATGTGGTGCGAGAGCTGTTTTCGGTCCCTAGGTTCAATGAGAACTTCCGAAACATTCTTGTGGGTGCATGGAGGGAGGGGGGGCGGGCGTTAAACATTGTTGGTAGTTTCGCAAATCCCATAATGTGTTTCCCTTGTCCGGGTTACTCATTGAAGCTCGCACACTTGTCGCCCTTTTTTATACACCATGTTATGTCCGTGAGCATTTAAATAGAATGACCCCCTGCACGTTTCAGTTTGCCATGATGGCGGTGTGTTTGTTCGAGGGTACCCTTTCAAGGTTTTGCTTGCAGGGAAACCAACAGGAACATCCTAATTTCTTGGCTCACCCTATGTTGACCCATGCCATCACCCACACCAGAGGGGCCAGTCCCAAATTTCCGCTGTCCTCCTGTTTCCTTTCAAACCAGCCCAAAAAAGGTTTGGGGGGTGCCCAAAAGGAAATCAGACCGCGCCTTGCAGATTTGAGGCGGAAGGTACCAAGAGCGCCTGGGTGGAGATGTGCAACAAGGCGATGGGATGGATCCACGGGCTCACATTCGCAGATTTGGGGGGTTGATGAAAGGTCCTTGACATGGGACCAGCAGGGAAACCCACCAAAAAGGAAGATTCCCCCCCACTAAACCGGAAAAAAGGTTCCCATGGTCATTTGGGGGCTGAACGGAATATTGATCCATCCCCAGATCAAGATGGAGTGAGTTCCTCTCTCCAAGAGGGAAAGCGGACTGAAGCACACGAAGTTTCTGAGCCTTGTCAGCTTTTATATGACTTTCGTCAGGACACCAAACAGGTTTTCCTTTGGCCGCTTCATGCTGCTGTTGCTCTTTTCGCCACGAGAGGCCCCTCATGAGCAGCGCAAATCCTCCAAGGCCATTTTTGCAGAGGGTGCAGCAACAAACCTCCAAGGTTTGGTGATTCTTGCCCAGGATGTCAACTCATTTGCGTCATCCCTCGCAAATTTGGGATTCCACCTTCTCACCAAATTCAGTGCCTACAGTTTCTCCACGAATCCGCGCAGTGGTAGGGCCACAAATTAAGCACTACAACTCAAGTCGGTACCTGTACCTGGACTTCTCCCCCTGCAAGGTGTATGGACCAAATGTCAATAGATTTGGGACGCTCATGTTACATGCCCCCACCCCAATGCGCAGCGCAGGGTGCGGACGGCGCTTGGCGGCACCGGCCACCGCATGTGATGAAGCACACGCCCAGAGCCCAAGGACTCGCGTGGCCAGCTGTCGCGGCGGCCATCTGAAATGCGGCGGGGAGTTTCTCACAGAGAGGTGACCCACTCCGAGGCCACGCCCTGTTTGCAGTTCCCTTCTCAAAGTGTCCTTTGATTCTTCGTGGGGCTGCACATCCCAGCCTGCGACGACTTTCAAGACGGCTGGATGTCATGCTGCCTTGGTAATGCCGATCACCAGTAGGAGTTGGTCAGTTGGTCGGGTGTGCTTCCAACTTTGTGACCCCCTGTAGATGCTGGATGCCAGGTACACCTACCATGTGGAGGGGCCTGTTATCTTAGGAAGCCCACCTGTTACCGGCCACACCAATGACTGTGTCATAGTTCCAGTTGTTTCTCTATGAGCCGTCACACCTTCAGCTTGAACAAGGGATGCCCAGCTTTGAACTGTCCTTGGACCTCAAGAAACCTACCAACATTTGTTCAAAATACCATGGATTCCGCTGGTTTTGGCCCATCTTTTGTCCTACACCAGGCTTGGATGACTTCGGTTTTGCCCGACATGCTCTCGCGAGAGCCCGTCGCAAAGGCAGAGCACCATGCACATGATGACAGTGGAGCCTACTCTTGGAGGCCGGGTCTGCCTGCGAATGGACTTGCGGAGCAAACCGAGGTGTTTCAAGGTTTCCAATGCTTGGGCGGAGGTCCTATACTTGGAATCCCTTACATCAGGATCTGGGGTTATCGCAAGCATTGGAGTATGACGGCATGTGTGTGTGTGTGTGTGTGTGTGTGTGTCAAAACTGGGGACCCTTGTTGACTCAGTTTAGCTGAACGGAAACCACTGTGGATGCCATTTTGAGACGTGTCCCTAGTCTTGGTCTGACTTGGTTGCCAAGTACCTCTGAAGCTGCCAGGAAAGCTGCTGAGAATCGTTCTGCGCGGTCAGTTCTTCCTTTACAACCAGCCAGAGCCACGGGCGGTTTTGTTTTTTGCTTTATATAGCTTGGTGTTCCCCAAGAATGTGGACCTTTGGTTGGCATTGTAAGCGGGTTCTGCAGAAACCAAAGGAGGCCCACCATTTTCAGGCAATGCAGTTCTGTTTTGAGCTTCACCCAGTGGGTCATGTGATCCTTTACATGAGCTCAGGATTCGGTTGATGGTGGGCACAGCAGTGGCCATTGTCTCAGGGGCCGCTCCCTTAGCCTCGCGAGCCTCGCGAAAGGCGAAAGACAGCCGGAGCCAGTCTGGTGGGCGAAAGTCAATTTTGGGGGCTGTGTTGTCCTTGCATCCAAAAAAATTGGCCATGAATCTGAAAGGGGGATGCCGCAATGCCCTCAAACATGGTTGGCAGGTTGGAGTTGGTAGACATGAACCTACATCCCATGTAGTAATTGTCCGCAAACTGGTCCAAATAAGATAAAACAGACCCAGCAATGCCAACCCAGGAGTAACCAACCTTTGGTTGAGTTTGATTGCGGTGGCCCCTTCAGGGAATCCGAATCATTGGGGGGAATTGCACCCCCCCGTGCTCCACTCGGTTCCGGGCTTTACCTTACATTGCTGCCCAGACTCACGCATGGGGTTCCCAGAAACGGGGGGGGGGGTCCGAAAAACAGGAGTCTCCTCGATTTCGGGCGCCCCCAACTGTGGCGCACGGTTTCCGTGTGGATTGCGAGGTGCTGCCGGCAGAACTCCTGGAGTCGGGGACCCAGAAAACTTGAGAGACGGCATGCGAGCGTGTGTCATCCCTTTAGCGAGTGAGGCGAGCGAAAACTCCATGGTCCTTTGCCTTTTGCTGTATCACTTGGCACTTTTGCTTGCTTGGGGTTCTCTCATTCAAAATAATCGCCATGTATCACCCGAAACTCCCCAAATATTGCAAGTACACCACCCATGTTCAGCCAATAAACTATAGGAAAGTACAGTCATATAGGGGCTCTACTTGCAATAGTCAATAGTTAGGCATATCATGGGGGCTGCTGCCCCAAGCAAGGGTGTGCGACGGCCGATGTTACTAGGGTATCAGTTTTTTCTGGCAGTAGGGTATTCGCGTGGTGATGCGTCACGCCCTCTTTGCCATGCAACGTGTTGGCTGTATGCAAGCCTACGCTCCACGGACATATAGAACGAGCAGCAGCATGCTTGGGCAAGGCGTTTCTTGGTGGTTTCACTAACAGTGGTCAAGCCCAAAAGGAGTTGGTTCCTTTCTCTACCAGTGTCACTGGTTGCAATGCTGGGGATGGTGTTCTGTAAGTGGTCCGTATATCTATTTGTGTGGCTGTACAGCCTGAAATCCCTGGGTCCCTAGCCTGAGTCCAGGTGGATTGCGTGCCTGCTTTTCTCCAGCTCCTGTGGCTGGGGTGGGAACCAACCAGCACAAACCACCCAAGACAGGGCTCCTTAAAAGATCTCCATGTTGCAACCATTTGAAACATGGCTTTGTCCAGCAAAGTAAAGGGAAACCACCACTTACAAGGCAATGTTCAGGTGTATAATGTCAGGATCCCTGCAAAACCCAGACCACTGCACCACAAAAGAATAGGCCGCCAACAAGTCGACAAGCGACAAACAAGCAGGGGCCAGCACAAAGCCACCCCCCCGCGCGCGCGCGTACGTTTTGTAGGGCGGCGCTGCTGCTGACCATCGAGCTGCACATGCCCATGGCGCCTCCAACGGGGCTGCCGGGTGCTTGGCTCTGCCCCGATTTCCGGTCCCGATTTCTGGTCCCGATTTCCGGTCCAGGCAGACCAGGTGAATTTGGCGGACCTCGTGGTGGAAGCGAATCAAAAGTTGGGCCATGTGGGTGCTGGTCCTTTCTGGAGTTGGCATCCCTTGAGTTCAGAAACCAAATGGAAAACACCAATTTCAGGGGTTAGTACCAAAAACTGTTCTGTGGGGAACATTCAAAAGGTTGGCTGGATCCTCTCCCACTTGCACAGGCTTCTGCGCACTGCTGGCTTCTCGCGCTTGGACACTCGGGTCTCCCTGACGTAAGTTGGGTCTTCTGGCCATTGGGTGTCTGCTGTCTGCCGGAGACTAGAGCCCGCACGCGGCTCCCTGAAACTGAACCTTCAGAGCTCTCCAATTTTCTTTGGGGGGGCACGGTCCACATGGTTTACAGCCCAGTTCCAGCCCAATTCCACGCCAAGCCCAACCTTTTAAACCGCCAGAGTAATGAATGCAGCCAGGCCGGCGCGTGCGCCATGGACCCTGCGCAGGCGCTTCGTTTCGGAAGAGCCTGCGGGGTCCAGGGCGACGGTTGTGTAAAGAGTCTGATCAGAAGGGATGGCTTAAAGGGCACGGGTTGCTTAACCCATCCCTTGAAAGGGCAAGGGTTGTTTTGAAGGGAACCCAGAAGGATATGGTTTAAGAAATTGCGCATGCTTCACGGGCTTTTAAGCCAAGGGATGGCCCAAGATGAGGGCTGGTCGGATCTCGCGGGGTGCTCAGCTTTTGTCAAAGCCTAGATAGTCTTTGTGTCCTATGTGAATTGTCTATTCTGCAATTGCGCGGATGGCAATTGCCATCCATGCTGATTTTGGGAACATGGGGGTTCATCAATAATAATCTCATGTCAGTAGCTCATGTGCACTCTGCGCATCCCAAGAGAGCAAACCACCAGCAATCCGAGATTTGCCCTGCAACGGCTTGCTTGTGGGTATGGAGTGGGTCAGGTGGAGCAGAGCTTCTCATGGCTCCTTGAGTCCAGTCCGGCAAGCCCCAACAGCCATCCTAAAAGTTGTTCTCGATAGTCCTTGCTGTCCCTGGTTTTGCCAAGTCGATGTTTGCTTTGCAGGCGGAAGAATGCATGTTGCCGCCAGAGGGCTTTGTCCTCATGAACGAGAAGGCCAGCAGGAGTCAAAGGCGGTGAGGTTGGGTGAGGCAACTGTGACTCAAGCACTCCAGGGTTTTCTTGGATGAGCATCTAGGGGGGGGTTCAGAAGCGCAGAACACCCCCAAGAAAGAAACAGCACTCAAAAAACAAGCAAACAACTCAATTGAAGGCAAAACGAGCACAAGGACAACTAAACATAGCAGAAACAACTCAGCCTGCAACGTAGCCAACACAAAACAGCCCGGCACTTGACCCCCCCGACTTGAGTTTGAGGCTGGAGCTGACTTTTTTCAAGTTGAGGGGGGGGGGGGTGGTTGGGGAGGAAATCTGCAGATTTTGCCACCGGAAAACATGAAAAGAGACTCAGAAAAAAAGGCTTGGGGTGGGAGACACAAACGCCAATTTTTCCCCCTCCCAATTTGACTTGTTTTTAGTGTTCGTCTGAGTTTGTTTGGAGTTGTTTGCTGAGTTGGTTTTTAGTTTTAGTTTTGCCACTGAGTTGATGTCGTGTTTTCTTGGGAAAACTGCAGATTTCCTCCCCAACCAAACCCCTGTCAGAAAACTCAAACAAACTCTTGACCAACAACTCAGCTGCAGACTCAGCCTCAAACTCAAGTCCGGGCAAGGGGGGGGGGGGGTCGAGCTCAAGGTGAGCTTTTCCGATTTTCCTAAGTTGGAAGTTTTCCAGATTTAGTCTTTTTGGATTGAGTTGTAGTGTGTTTTTTCCTGCCACTTCAAAAATACTTTTTGTAGTGGTAATCCAGCAAGAGATTCAAGGGTGGTAGCGTCTGAGACTAAGAGGGGCATGCGGTAGCCCTTGTTCTTTATGAAGTTGACTTGTAAAAACATGTCAAAGAGAAACTGTAAGAACAACATATTTTGAAGTTTGCCTGTTTGGAGACCAAGGTAGATCCATGACCATGCTGGACATTGTTTTCCATGATGCTTTGCTGAATGTTTACTTGAGCCCAGGATTTTGGTTTTGAGGCAACTGTTGGTGATGTGTAGCGTCCGAAGACCCCACGACCAGGGAGTTTGACCACCATTGCCAGGTTTCCTAAGGCAACAACCATAACTCAAGTTGTGAAGATGCCTCCTGTGGCTTCCTCGTCCAGTGGGGGGTTTTCGGGCTCTGACTGAACCAGCGGAAGGGAGGGGCCCCGACGCCCCCGACCTCGAACTCGCGAAAAAAACGCCAGGCCTCCGCGGCGGCGCAGGACTTCGTGCTGCAGGTGGAGAAAGACATGGACCTCCAGTGGACGGAGAGCCAGGCCGAGCCCCACCGGACAGACGCGCTAGGGGAGTGGCCGATCTGATTGGACGGGTTGATGGGTTTGTGAGAGAGTTTTTCTATAGAAACGAAGAGATCAAGGGCAGTGTTATGATTGCCACGGCATGTGATTTTAAAGAAAGGAAGTGCAAAGGCTTGGTGAAGAGAGGAGCCAGTGTGTGGCACGTGAGGGGCGTCCAGTTGACTCTTGGCGTGACGTCCGGCAGCTGTTTTTATACGAGGCACTCATAGGAGACTCGTGTCTCATAAGTCCTAGCCGTCAGACATGCCGCAGTCCCTGCGCTTGCTGCCAGCCGCCCTGCTGGGCGTGGGCACATACCTCCTAGTGTCCCAGTCGTCCTTCGTGACGACAGGCACACCCGCGAGGCAAAGCCGCACAGCCATGCGGGGATTCAAGGACGACTTCTACGCCTGGAAGGACACCCTGAGCAAGGACGATCAGGCTCTGCTGTTGAAGCAGGCCCAGAACGAGTTCAACAAGAAGTTCAGGTCAGGCGATGACTTCAAGAAGACAGTGGATCAGGAGAAGATTGCGGCCTTCGGCAAGGTCCTCCAGAAGTTCTTCGACAACGAGAGGGAGGACTACAAGAAGGAGGAGGCGATGAGGGCCCCCGACTACCAGGCTTTGCAGAAAAGGTCCGGCCTGGTGGGCTACGACTTCGGCTTGAAATCGGAGACCGTGGAAATCGACCGTGATGCTGACCGTCGCTGGGCTACTGCCAGCCGGAAGATGGCCATGGCGGAGAAAGAGGGCAAGGAGTATCCCGACAGTTCTCCTTTGGAGGAGCTGTTTGCGATTGCCAACGACGCGGAGCACCACGACAACAACGTGAAGACTCTTGAGAAGCTGAAGGAAGACTCCAAGGGCTTCAAAGACCTTGACGCAATGTTCAAGGACTTTTCGATCCCAGCTGCTGGCGAGGACTTCAAGGTGATGATGCCCCGGGTCCTGTTTGAGAAGCTAGGTGACTATGCCAACCAGTATAAGGAGAAGCTCGAGGCCTACAAGAAGGACCACAGCGAGTCCGAGGCGGAGTCTTACGCCAATGGGGAGCTGCAAGAGGAGTGGGTGAAGACCCTGGGGACGCTTGTGGGTGAGTACTACGAGGCACGTCAGGAGGTGGAGAAGGAGGTGACGCAGCTGAAGAAGTTCTTCCGCTCCCAGAAGGAGATGCCAGGCAAGACCAAGGCTGACATCGTGAAGCAGATTTGGAAGGAGTTGCCGAAGTGGTCAGACAGCCCCGTGCCTCCTCTGGATGAGGAGATGTTGGCGGACCTGGCCAAGGAGCCTGCTTCGGTTGAGGGCGAGTTCAAGCACAACTGGGGTACTGCTGAGAAGCTGTACAAGTCGGAGGCGATCGATTCTTTCGGCAACAGGTATCTGCTGGGTGTCTTTGAGGACACGAAGGACGCAGAGAAGGCCTTCGATGCCTGGAACAAGGAGTACGAGAAGGCTGGGCAGGATGTGAAGGAGAGCATGAAGAATTGGGCCAAGCAGCAGGAGGCTGAGCTGGCCGAGGAGCAAGACTCCGTCGACCGCATCCGCAAGGCCCTGGAGGAGGCTAGGCGCTGAGAGTTTTCCATTTGATCATGGGATTTCTGCGAGCTTTGACGGCAGGCGTGTGCCCCAGATTGAAAAATGCCCGAATGCCTGAATCTCAGACGCTTCGCCGGAACAGAATCTACGTGTGGATTTGTGTCTGTGTGTGGTTTCTCCTTCTTCGTGCCGATGCCTTCGCAAACTCTGAAGGGTGATGCGGCGATGCGTGATTGATTTTGAGCTGGTCTGGCCCTTTGATCTGGCCCAGTGTGTTGCCAGCATACATGGAAACTGCGGGTTTTGTGTAGATGCTCCGTGGGTGGGGTTCATGTGGGTTTTTGTGTGGGTTTTGTGTGGATTTTGTGTGGGTTGCTGTGTGGGATTTTTGTGTGGTTGTTGGGTGGGTTTTAGGTGGATATGGTGGATGTTGTTGTTTTGCGTGGGTTTTGCGTGGGTTTTGCGTGGGTTTTAGCAGGGTTTTGTCGTTTTTTGGTTTTTGGGGGATCGAGTGGGTTTTGTGTGGCGCGGGTTTGGGGTGCATTTTGCAAGGGGTTCGTGTGTCGGTGTTGGCTTAAGTGTTGGGTTTATTTTGTGTGGGTTTTTTTTGTGCGGGTTTCGAGTGCGTTTTGGTTTCGTGTGGGTTTTGGGTGGCTTTGGTGTGGGTCTTGGGCAGGTCGCAGTGCCATTCACTGTTGATGACGTCAGTAGTTGCGCTAGGTGCAAGCATTGCCCGCTCTCACTTGGCGAGCGCAAGCAGAGTGAAGCTTGCCTTGTGTGGCTGTTCTGTGGGTTCTGTGAGGGTTTTGTTCGCATGCGCGCTCCCTGTGGCCCGCGCAACTGGTGTGGAAGTCTCAAGCAATGGATATTGAAGAAATATCAGAAATGTCCTGGGCTATGAGCTTGGTGGTTCACTGATAAGCACACACAGCTATGGCACCGTTTGTCTCTAAGCTCTGTTGCGCAAGGTCACGTGATAACCCACTACAACGAATCTAATCGGTCCGGCACACATTGAATGTTCCGGAATCCAAAGTGGCGCAAAGCAAGTTCCATTGGGGGATGAATCCAAGTGGGGTGGCAAAGAATTCGGAGCGGATCCTCTCCGCGCTCGCTTGAGGGAGTCGATCGCATGATTTCGAGGAGGGCGACGCCTGGCGCGCCAAATTGGCGCAGATCCAGCCACCCACCGGTGCTGCCGGGGTCCCAGGGTGGAAAGGAGGCTTGCCTGCGATGGTCAACAGACTTGTTGCGACAGCATTGTTCGTGGTTTGAATCTCAAATATGTTGATTCTCTCTTTCTGACCTGCAAATGTCGAGTGCTTGAGGGATCGGCCGCCGCCCATGCGAATTTTTGTGGCTGCATCACAGCTGGAAACGGAGCGACGCAGAGCGTTGCCGGAAGGGACCGGGCACCTTCTTTAAGTAGACAATGGTTTGGGGGAGTCCCAGGAGCATTTTGCACCAAACCGGAAAGAGGTCAGGGGTTGATATCCATTCCCCTGAATGGACTGCATGCTGGCCGTCGAGCGCTGTGCAAGACATTGATTCCTGTTGGTCATTGTCAGTACGCAAAGGCCGAGCTGTCCAATTTTTCGCCGTTGTCAGCAGCGGCTCCATTGCTGTTTGTATGGCTATATGCGTAAACAGGTGTGTGTGCGTGTTGCAAAGTAGAACCTTGTGACATGCAGAGTTATAATAGACTGATGCCCCGAAAGCTGCGAGTGCGAGCATCCCGAAAGCGAGCAGTATTGTTTTCATGAGATGCAGAACAGTGGCAGCTTTGAACCAAGCAGGTTCGGACCAAGAGTCTTGCAGAGTAATTTATATGTTTTTTATTTGGGTCTGTCTGATTACATGGGGGCACTCTCTTTTTTTTCTTTTTCGGGGGGATGTTTTTCTTCGGCCTCACTTAAGAGGATCCTCAATCAAAGGCGCACCAAGGTTCCACTGGTTTGATTCTGAAACATCCGGGGGAGTGATCAAGCTGCACCAGTGGTACAGGCTCCTTCCCTTGTCTTTCTGGGCGGGGGAGCTGCTGTAGCCAGCTTGGTTTGTTTTATCCATGTGCGTCCATATCTCAAAATGCGGACCCCTGTGCAGGTGTTTTTGCAAGGAAATACCTTTTTGGCATTCCAAAAAAAACATAATCGAAAGTTGAAGGATATCCGAGCCCACTTTGGCTCCCACTCTTTTGCCCATTTGGTTCGGAAACCACCCATGTCCGGTCCATTTTCCGAGGATGAACGGAAAAGGAGTGTGCGGCTTCCGAAGCCGCACTCAAATCGGAAGGTCCTGGAGGAGTTGCGGGCCATGCGAGCCACGGCGTGGGGCCCTCAGAGTTTGGCCGCCCGTTGCATTTACATGGGTTTGGGTACACCATGTCACAACCAAGCCAGAACGTCTACCGTGAAAAGAGAAACAGGTTGCGCGCCAAGACGTGCTCGCCGAATCGCCAAGCGCTTCCAAGGTGCACGGTCCCGTTTTTGGCGCTGAGGGGGAACCAGGGCCAAAGAATTACACACGCGCACACATAAACCGATCGTTTGTTCTGTCCGCCATTTCGCGGGTCAGACGCTTTTGACTTGAACGAAGGTGAGGGTTGCCACGTACTGTACCATAGCGCCTTTGACCGGGGGTCCAAAACGGGTCCGTGATTTTCCCAACGACCGTGTCAACGCAGGGTGGCAACCAATGTCTCGATTCAACGTCGGATCCACTGTTTCCCTCCAATTCTTTGCAGGGATCGTTTTGAAAAATGGCCGAGCTCCCATTTCCCAAGTTCAGCTCGTACTTCTAGCCCTCGACCCAGCAGGAGGGCTCTTTGCTTGTGGCTGGTGGATGAACCCATGGGGTTTCTCAACAGGCTCGGCTGTGCGAATGCCTGAGATCAGCCTGACGACCCAGAAAACTCCGGGTTGAGGTCAAAGGACAACGCCGAGCTCCGCGCTTCGCAGGAGCGAGGGGAAAATGGGGGATGGTTCTTTATCTTGAGGCTACGCGTGGCTCAAAAAGTCGGGTCCAATAATGGAACCTGGTAAATGGAAAAAGTAGACTACAACCTGCGTAACCTCAGCTGCTTAATTTTGGGCCACACCCATGTGTTTGACGGTGTTTGGGGTTATCAAGAAACAGCCTCCCTCAGAACATTGTTGAGACAGAGCAGTCTGGCCCCCCCCCCCCCCAAACAAAAAAAAATAACGCGCTTTAACGCACTGTTGGATTCAATATTCAATATTCAAGATTTCCAGGACTCTAGATCTGGAATCTTGAATCCAGTCTGCCCCCCCCCCCCCCCCCCAAACATGCTTTAAAGCTTTGAAGCGTTTTTATCCGGATGGCTCGTGGGCTCAAGATTCCAGATCTAGTCCTGGGAAGCTTGAATCTTGAATCCAAAAGTGTTTTAAAGCGCTTTGAAGCATCTACTTTCATCCATTCCTGTTTAGGTGTACACCTTATTATCTTTGTCGTCCTGTGAATTTGTAAACACAGTTGGTAGTTCAGCCTATGGTTCTATCCGAAACCCAATGCAAACTGAAAGCCTTGCTTGCAAACCAATTGGGATAGAAGCTTCCCAATCCCGTACAGATCTCTCCCCTTTGGCTGTTCTGGGAAACAAGGCTATGGGACGCATCCTCTCGCAAACCAGCCAGGAAGTGCAATAGATCCTTTCGGAACTACCTGTGTGTGTGTGCTTTCCTAGACACTGGCGGGAGTGTCTCCGGGGCACAGAGGTCCTTTCTGGGTTTCGGTTTCGTGAAGCACGGAATTTATCCAGCGCTCCTCAAGTGCGCCTTTGCCAAATGCGGCCTTTTTGGTTTTAGCCATGCTAGTAGACGAGTTCTGGTTTCAGTTTGCTCGCTGTTCAGTTCTCAGTCGAGTCCATCATATTTTTTCTCCAGAAGGAGTCCAGCATCAACACCAGTGGAACCCACTGGCCAGAGGTTCCTTTTTCACTTCTCAGTGGAATCCAATGCCAAAAGGACATGGGCGCATTACGTTGGAGGGTACCCTTGGAGTTTGGTCAGCCAGAAGGCAGCCCAAAGAGCACCTCGAATCAGAGGCTCCGATTTCGTTGGAATCGTGGCTCGTTCAGGACTCCAAGGACGGCAAGCGCAGGGAGTCGCAACTGGCCAGCGGGGAGAGGCATTTGCGTCGGGTTTGCGGCTGGAGGGGGGGAGGTCCCTGGTTTAATGCCAGGCAAGAGATTTGCGTTGACAAGTGCTGCAGTCATAGATTGTTTGGTCCTCAACCCTTGGAAGAGTCCTGCCGTAAGGCTCCTTTTTGGTGGGCCACGATAAGTTTAACCAAGGGCAGCTGTGCTGTGTTCAGTTTTGGTGAAACTTGCAAGGCCAGACCGCTATGTTTGCCAAGTGGTGGATAGGTTTAGCAGCGACTGTGAATGACTTACTCTTGCGAGAAGCCGGCTTTGTTCCGTCCTTTTTACGGATGGATCAAACATCACACTGGGCCATTTTCGGGGCTTCAAGGGAGTAAACCGTCGGTGTGGTGATGTTTTGGTTGGAAACAACAAGGAACCAACGGTGGGCGCCATGCGCTTGGCGCATCCGTAGCTTCACAAAACGCCAGGTCCTATGTCGGACTGCTGCCTCGACGCTTTGCGGCTGACTGCATGGCTTGAGGCTTAGTGAAGCTGTCAGGTGAGACTTTCAACAAATCTTGGGAAGCAAACGGCTTCGGCTTCGACTTCTTTCGCCCAATTTACTCAGTGAGATACCGGGCGGCCCTTCCTGGATTGTTCTTGTTCCCAGAAGTTCGGTGGGCCAAGAACAAGCTGGACCCCCCCGAATAGCTGGGTGTCCTCTGGATTTTCTGTCAGACTATCCATCCACAAAGACGACTTTCCGATTTTAGAAGGAAAGCTACATGAAACCGAAGAGTCCACTGGCCACAATGGATGCGCGTTCCTTGCAGAGAGGTGGCCTCCACAATTCTCGGCCTTCCGCGGCTTATTTTTGGTAGGCATCCCGGAAGCCGAGGGGTTTCCACAGTGTTTCAGGAAATGTCCGTGGAAGTTATTCAGGGCTCCTTAAAATAAATTCATTTTGCAACCCTTTGAAACATGTGGCTTTTTCCAGCAAAATGAAGGGACACCACCATTTACAGGGCAGTGTTCAGGTGTATGATGTAAGGATCCCGGTTATTTTAAAAGGTTCACTAAATATGGTGGAACGTTTTACGAGGGTACCCTTATGGGGTTGTTCAAAGGGATACCACAAGCAAGCCAACCATTTGTTTGAGTTCTCTATATTCCCGATTTTGAGACGAGCCCAAGCATGGACTAGCATCAAGCATGTCTGGGAAAATTTTGGGGCGACAGCGGCAGTTTTGCTCTCGGATTGAAGTCACAGAACCTTGTCACAACTCGGGGCATAGCCACTTTTTTGCGTGTCGCGTGCTTCTGGCACAAGGGTACGCTTTCTCCAATCATTGAATCATGAAGTGGATGTTTTGGGCTTCCAGAAGGATGTCGGCTTCCATTGTAACCTCTCGTACCTCTAAGTACTCCTCGCTCTTGGAATGTATTAGTTTCCGTCCTGATTTGTTTGTTCGCATTTGAAAGGAGCCCACAGGACTCATTTAAGCTAGAGAGCCACCCAAATATTGGCCCCAAGATATGGATAATCGGATACTGACAGGAGGGACGTTAACAGTTTCGCACCACACATTCGCCGGTCGAGCAAAAGAAGTGGCCTTCAGGTCCGCTTCCGCTTGGTGCTGTGCCCTCAGGGGCACAAAAGACACATGGCCTTTCTGGATATGTCAACACTGGGACTGCCTCATGCCTGAACTTGATTTGGTTGGTGGGACCCTTTGGACCGAATTCGGGAATTTATATACAAGTTGGGAGGTGTGCATGGGAAGACTTAGCGGGATCTGCTAAAAGCTTGCACCATGTGACTGTGTGCGTAGCATCCCGGAACCCCTTGTTGGAACGGGTCACTTAATTTGCAACCGTGAGGCCTCCTGATTTTTACACATTCAACAGATTGCTGACCGCGAAGCTTTGAGCGGCTCAAGGGCCAAGTTGCTTGAAGCGTTTGGCTTACCATAATGAGTATCGTTTCCCTTACATATGCTTCTTGTAGTTTACATGAGTAGGCAAGCACCCACATGAGTCACAGCTTGCTCGCATAATTCGAGTTTCGTGGTGCACCTTGCCTGCGCGAAAGTATCAAAGGGGCCCTTGTCAATGGACCCATATCTTATGTGAACTTAAATCCTGAGGGCTCACATCCTGCCGCTGTATCAAATGGGTATGACTTGCTTCCATGTTGGGATGTACAGCCCGCAAAAAGCCAGAGATGCGGTAGATGGGCGAGGAGAGCCAATGGCTGACGGTCATCGAAGCGTCCTTCTGCACCTCGCGGAAAGGACAATTTTCAACGTCGCGTCGGCCGAATGGAACCATATGGCTGTGGTTGCCAAAATCGTTTTGGATCCCATTTTGGTTGGTAGGTGAATTCCCATTTTAGAACCTATTTTAGAGGGGATTGAGATGTTCACTGGGGGTACGGGAGTTTTGACTCATGGCCATATGGCTCTGGCTGAAAAAGATGAAATGGCACCTTGGTAAACCGGTTAGGGAACCGGAGGGGGTGTGGGGGGAGGCCCGGCTTCCCGGCTGCCAGATGGCTGGCAGGACTGGTGGGCCCAAAGGCGCGGAAGGTGGTGGTGCCGGTGGTGGGCCGCCGCTTCCCGGACGAGATCTTCAGCTCCCCGGCCCGGGCGATCCCATTTCTGGCGGGAAGCCGAGGTCCAGCCGCCCCAGTTCTGCGGGGTTTTAACCTCCCGCCAAAGAGCGGCGTTTTAAGATCCAGGCGCCAAAAGACGGCGGTTAGAAAGCAGCCCAACAAGAGGGGAGCCAATTCGTAGTTTCCTCTGGGAAGATGTGCGGCTTTGCTCAGGCTTTCTGCGGGGCTGCGGCCTGCTAAACTCCTCGGTGCGTCCAAGCACGGAGCGGAAGATCCAAGGGCTGCGCTCGGGGAGCGATGCGGACGGGGCGGGGAAGCCAGGCCAAGGACGGGGGTTGGCAGACCTATATTTGCCTTTTTGGCAGATATAACATATCACCATTTGGAGTTTCTTTGAATATGGGGAAGCCTGGAGAAGGACTGGCGGAGTGTCTTGTTGATTGGTTCTGGGGGTTAACGTTGAACCCGGATTATCAGAGTAGTACGGTTGTGCAGAGAAGGACCCCCCGCCTCGAACAATTTGGGGGTGGGGGTTCAATAGGGGGAATGGCCCTACTCAAGTAGTCTCTCAGGAAGTACTGCTTAAAGTACTGGGTAAGAATTGTGTTAGTATTGCTTTGTGCTCGTCCAGTACAGCGCAGTATAGCTTTAGAAGTGGTTTAGTATTGCTTTGTGATGACCCAGTAACGTGTAGCACTGTGTAGCATGGGGAAATGATCAGTTGGTCTTTTGAGCTTTTTTTTATATTTCCTCCCCCGCTTTTCCTTTTCAGGGTGGGGAAGAATCTTGGGATTTGTTTCTCACCTCCCTAACTACTAATCGCTACTCCACAGGAATCTGAAGTATATCAAAGTTCCCATGAATTTTAACAAGGAATATTTGACTTTGGGAAGTCATGGGGCCAGTGGATGGAACCCAAGCGCAGCCTGGGAGGGAGATGGCGGGAGCTCTTGGTCACTTTCAGCATGGGAGCAAGTCACAGCTTTGGCTTGTTGAGTCTATCATAGTGGAAGCTTCTTCAATGAAGCCACCAATTGACACGCTTAGTCGCTGACTCCAGGACTCTAGTGTTCCATTTGTGGGTCGCTAGTTGCCCAGAACATGAAAAGCGAGATGGTCCAGGCCAAAAAAGACCGCCCACAGATGAACGATCCAGAGCCAAACAAGCCGCTCACGGATTCTTGTAAAGGATCCCTGCTTGGTTCTATGGCCAAGTCAGCATATCGTTAGCAACCCAGGTTCCTAGATGGACTTCACCTTTCGCGGGTTTTGACCCTAGGTGGCTAACCGAACCACTGACTTGGCCAAACATCCAACTGGGGGTAAGATTCTTTTAGGACAACTAAGCTAATACTCAGGAGAATCCCTTCAGCAGGTAGATGAGAAGGGAGAGACACGTTTCCCTTGCAACATGTCCCTCTCGAAGCCCGCTGGAATCACGGCAGGATGGCAGCCCTTCTTCGCGCGCCTGGTGCCGGAGGTTGGGCTCGCCCACACCTGCGCCCGGATCACCGACTTCCCCCAGCAGGAGAAGGGCTTTGATCAGAAATGGGATGCCTGCGCCTGGATGTTGCTGGGCTGGATCTTGACCCTTTAGCTTGAGAAAAAAATATATATCTTCTTTCCCTGCAAACAAAACCTCGCTCGTGAAGCCTGACGGACGACGGGCTCGGAACGGGTGCGGAGCTGGGTCGGACTCGGGCTTGGCACGGACGTGAACGCTTTTCGCACTGCGAAGCAGTGGGTTTGCGATCAGATTTCGTGGCAGGCGCAACACTTTGGCAGCCTGCAGCACGTTGGCAGACTTAGGCGCAGATTGCGTGACGGGCGCGGCTCTTTAGCAAGGCGGATTTTGTGGCAAGCGCATCGCTTTCACATTCGTGGCGGGTGCAGCACTTTCAAAAGGTCGAGTGCAGATTTCGTGACAGGCACAGAGTTCGTGGCAGGTGCGTCATGTTCGCAAGGTCAAGCCGGTTTTCCTGGTAGGCGCAGCACTTTCGCAATGTCTTATAGATACAGAAGCGCACCTCATGGGGTGTTTTTTGGCTCACACCAAACAAAACACGAGACCCGTGGACTCCTATATCTGTTGCCAACAAAAAACCAACAAAACACGCATCGCGGCCTGGTAATTTCACTAACCGCAACCGAATTCTATGCAAGTGAATTAGAAGAAACAGCCAGCTTGTTTTTCCTTGACAGATTATCTAGATTATCGCGGTACTTGGAAAGGTAGTTTTGGCTCTATGGCGGCTTTGTGTCAAAACAGCGCATTGCAGTCCTGAATCCGTTGAATCTGTTCCCTGTCACTCTTCTTTATCACTACGAATAAAAGAAAGCGCAACTTGTGTGTCAGAATAGTGCATTGCTTCTCCTCCATCCATTGCATCTGCTCACTTTCACTCTTTGCTAGCGCTACAAATGTGTGTGTGTGTGCTTTTTAAGCTGCGCAAGGTCTAGTACAGGATGGAAGTTCGAACCATACCCCTGAACCATACCGCGAGTCATACCTCCGAACCATACCCCGCACCATACCCCTCTTCACACCGCCAGGTACTACTAATTACTACAATATTACTACTACTACTACGTTTACTACTGCTGCTACTACTACTACTACCCACAGCAACTCCTACTAGCTACTAACTACTGACGACTAACTACGAACTACGAACTACGAACTACTTGCCACCAACTATCAACTACCAACTACTACTACTGCTGCTGCTGCTACTGCCATACTTCTTCTACTACTACTACTACTACTACTAACGACTAACTACAAACTACTAACTACTAACTCCTAACTCCTAACTACTACTTCTACTGTTATTACTACTACTACTACTACTACTACTACTTCGACTGCTACTACTACTTCTACTTCTACTTCTACTTCTACTTCTACTTCCACTTCTACTTCTACTTCTACTACTACTACTCCCGTTTCGACGACTACTACTTCTACTACTGCCACTACTGCTACAACCGCTTTTACTACTTCTTTCACTGCTACTTTCACTACGACTACTACTGCTACTAGTACTGCTACTACTACTGCTACAACGCGACTACGATTACGACTACAACTAACATCTCTATGGCTGAAAAGCATCATGCCCCGAAACATACCCGAACCACGCGTCGAACCATACCTTTTGTGCGCGGCAGAGCGTCAGCTAATGTTGCAACAGAAGTTTCGGTTCCTGCGAACCATACCCGGAATCATACCCCCGAATCATACCTCGAATCATACCCTCGAATCATACCCCCTATCCAAACTTCCCTAATTTTGGCACAGACCCAAATAGAACAAAGCGTAACTTGTAGAAAAGCAATGTCAAAAAACACGCAAACAACACCAAACAACAATGCAAAAACCCAACCCCATGAGCCGCCGCTCAGCAAGTTTGGCCTTGCGCGAACAGGTGCAGCATTGCACACACCAACCTCGAAAGCCTAGTTCGATGGGCACGCAACAATAAGCAATGTGGGGCTTCAGTTTGGCAAGGATTTCAGCCGAAAGAGAGCGAGAAGAGGAGGAAGTGAAAACAAAGAGAGACGGACAGGGGGAGAGACGGGAGAGAGAGCAAGCGAGCTATAGTTCTTATATTTGTGAGAGTCTTCACCGGCCCTACTGGTAGGGCACCTCCAAAGTAGTTGGTGGACATGAATCCCCAGCAAACCATGCGCACCAATGAGCCCCATGAACATGCACACCCATATTTCACTAAAAGTTCAGCTTTATTTAGCAACGGATCAAACTAACAACTCTGAAAACGGAGGCAAAGACGCCCTGAGGACGCCGACGCCGCATCTCGCTGCCGGCGGGTGGTGTACCAGCTCAACGAAGACGCCTCCGGCATCGACGTGCGGGTGCAGGAGCGGGGAGGAGGTTTCGGGTGGAAATGGTGCCAGCTAGATTTTGCTGTTGAGTGTTAAGGGGGTGGTTGGTGCACCTGTTTCGCAAGTTGGCGGCATCAGTGGGTACGGTGCCGCCCCTGTTGATACATCCATGTGAGCAGGGCTAAACACCTTTCTTGCCATTGGGGAGCAAGAGCACGAGGCATGGGGCCGCCTTGTTTGAGGAAGCCCTTTTGTGGTTGGTCCTCAAGGGAGCGACAAAGGAAACCGACCATCTTCCTACTTTGGAGACAAATCTAAATATAGGGACATATAGAGACCACGAAGAATCAATGGAAGCCTGTGTAAGCCATGAAAGCACTCATGGACAGACAGCACATAAATCCATGTCGACTGCAAAGGAGTTTTGCCCCGTCGTGGAAGGTCAACCTGCACACTGCCTTCGCCCTGCTTTTGCACGGCATTAGGCTGGGAATTGGAGCGGTGAGATGGGTCCGATACTGTTGAGCCATAGCATGAGCCACAGCCTGATTGTGACTAGTGACTTCCGTGGCTTTTGCTCTGGCTCATCAACTTTGGAGTACTGCTCTAAAATCCCCAGCCTGCATTTGACCAGACCCATGACACGGTCCTTTTCAGACTACCTCAGACTGCCCAATCGGCGAACAGGACTGGATTGCCGTTCCCAAAACTATCTTCCTTATTTTTCCCCTTTGGCCTGTTAAAACACAACTCCTTTTGGTGAGTGATGTTTGGAAGTGCAGAATTCCTCTTGGAATGCCAAACCTTGCCTTGGCAAGGTGGTCAAAGGACCGCGCTGCTCCATGGTCAAACAAATTCGGGCAGAAGTTGTGGCTGCCCGTGCTCACGTTTTGTTTGCGTGTGACTCTTTTGAAGTAAAGTCAAACTGGTTTGCATGCCCATCTTGCCCAAAGTTCGCGGTGGGTTTTTTGAGTGACTCGGATTCCAGGTTCCCTGCGCTCGGCTACGAGGGTGACTGGCGGGTCTCGCAGGGAGTGCCCGCAGAGTTGGGGAAAGCAAAAGGACCTTGGTGGCCAAGCACGTGCGTGAGATGTATTATGAGAGACAGCCTGAGGAATTTCAATAAGTTGGAACCCTCACAAAACTTTTTGGTGGGTCCCCAATTTGAACTCATACCCTAAATCCTACTAGCCTGCTTGCTGAACTCCCTGTTCCTTTCTAGGACCCTTTGGGAGGTGCGCATAAGAGCAAGTTGCCGGACGTTGCATTTCAGTAAGGTGGGTGGCCAAAGAACGCTGTTGCTTGCTTGCTTCTTTCTCAGCTTGTTGCCGAGCCCATGTCCCTGCCACAAACCAGCTGACTTGAATACCTATTATGTATCCACAGGTCCAAGGCAACATCTCAGCCACGTACCCCTAGAAAATCGGTGTCACACGGCCTATAAATAGATTAAGAATTTCGGGCACGGGAAAACACAGAAAAGGAACCACAGAAAGGAACCTCTTGAATGTACAACTTGGGGCTTTGGCCATGGGAGTTTTCACTCGCATTTGCGACACAGGAGCTCCCAGCTTCCGGCTCTTGGACAACAAGTTGGATGCCAGGCGATGGGTGAACCAAGCTGGGGGCGTTTTTTACCGGGAGATTCGAACATGTTTCCACTACCCGAACTACCCCCAGAACCTTCAGAGGCTTGGCCACTTTATGAACTCAGTGTTTACTGTGGGGATTCAAAAGATCTTAGGACCTATGGGGCTCACAAAGCGGGAGGCAGCCGACCTTTTGAAGGATCCCAGGTGGGAGATGGCTTTTTATCCAGGCTTATGTTTAGAGCAACGGGTTTTTTGATGACCTATCGTCTTGAAGAATTTGAACCGATGTTGCTAACTGGCACTGTACGAATCACCCAAGTCCGTTTGGAATTGAGTGTGAGCAAAGTGCAGGGGACTCTGTGCCTCCTTTCACAAGACTCAACACATACCCTGTGGGATATTTGGGTGGGACCCCCTATGTGACTGCCACTCATGTTGCCGGTTTCGCATGTCTTTGGGTGCGAAGCTAAGAGTGCCACTTATGGACTTCCCTCCCACAATTTGGAGATGGTATATAAGTGATAAACTTGCTGGTGCTCAGGAAATGAGGTCTGAACCCAGGGGTCCCCTTAAAGGAAACCACAAAGGACGGCGTGGAGGGGTTATTGCCACATTTTCTACTGCGCACCACTCAGTTGTTCAGTGGCACCCTTTTTCCCCTTTTTTGGTAGCTGCCCCACTAAAAATGGTCTTCCCCAAAAAGGGTTCCCGTTTTTTTGCAGGGTCACCGAACAACTGAGAGACCAGCAAGCAAATTCCCCTACCTTCACACATATCCAAGTTGTTTCCGTGCAGGCACGCGCAGGTTGGCCTGAAGCATCCTTTGCGGCCAGAGCAGCTGCGGTCGCTGAGCTGGATGCTCCAGCAGGTGAGTTCCGGGCGCACGAAATCGGCTCATTGAACTGGGGGCCATAACGCCTGCAGGAGAGGGTAGAATCCCTTGACCCAACCCAAACGCACTTGGATGTATCTCATGAAAATTAATTGGCGTTCGGCTAAAATCATACCCAAAGGCATCTGGGTGTTTCTCAAAATGGGAGAGTTCTCCTTTACAACCGCGTCCGACGGCCCAGCAGCATTTCGGTGTATTGGGGTTTCAGCGGCCCTCTAAGCCAACCTGAAAGTGCTACCTCAAGAGCGCGCTCAGCCAGCCGTTTGGGGCTTTCTCATGAAATTTGCTCCCCTCAAGTGCTTGTTCAAAAGCAAGCCTTCCTTGTTTTGGTTTTTAGGGATTTGGCTTCCCTCTTCCATTGATTTTCAGCGGCTCACAGAGTAGGATTGGCCACAATCCTCCGTTTTGCAAAGCTTACCCTCCCAATGAACATGGAAGTGCACCATTCCGCTTTGCAAGAGCAAAGTACCCGTAGTCTTTCTCCAGTCTCACTCCCACGGGAGGAGAGCTCCTGCACGCCGCTCACGATGATCTACCGCTGCTACTGGCAGCGAGCTCGACCCGAAGAGGCGGGCGGTGTCCAGTTGGCAAGGGACGAAATGACGGGTCTACTTTCTTGTTGGTTTGGGTTTGGGGAGGACATGGGATAGTTGCCCGCGGTTTTCCAGAAGAACCAGGCCCAGTAAGTTTGCCCAGGGCTCAAGAAAGCAATATACCCAGGATGGTCTAAAGGGAACGAAACCCGAATGGGGCATGCATTGTTCCTTTGGAGAAGCACGGGCAAATCCCCACAGACATGGTGGACCTACCATGTGTAACTGGTGTCCAATCCACGAAAGTCCGCCTTGCCCGATTGATGCCCTCTCCAAATGCCTGGGTCACGAAATGGGCCCGCAACCCCCGTTCCCTTTGTTTTGTTCTTCAGCTGGGATGGAACGGGATTGGCCAACACTCCATTCTGAAGAGCGCAGTGAAGGTGGGACGGAGGGAGTTGATTACTGGGGATCCGGAAGAACGAGCGATCATGGTGGACGTCTTCGCTTGGAGTTCCTCATTTGGCTGTGGCTCAAAATTAAACAGTAGGGGTTACGCGGGTTTTGGTCCATGTTTCCACTTACCAAGGTTCCATTTCGGTACCGGTTTTTTGAGCCACTGCCATTTCAGGAGGGAATGGTCATTCTTACATGCTTTCACGGGCGGCACTTACACCAGCTCCTTACAGGGAAGCAGATGACAGCTTGCACCAGCTGGCTTTTCGATTATGGGGGAGCCAAGGAGCCAGGGATGCTTCAAGTCAAACAAATAGAGCTCAAGTGCCCCGAAAATCATTGGCTAAACGGCCAAGGCGTTTTTCGGGTATTGCTCTTTGAGATTGTCCTTTCAAGCATCTCTGTCCGAAGCCGGCCTCTTGTTGGATACATCGAATCCGCCTCCCCGAATCGATTGGCTCGCCTAGTGCCCACTAATCGCGGATCACGGATGCCCCCACGTTGAACCCAGTATCTTCAACGCCCCATGAGTCTCAGTCCAAATTGGCCTTACAAGGCAGTGTTTCTCCAGGAGGCTCCGAAAAGTTTGGCCATCGACTGGACGCTGGATTGCCGGATCATCGCCTCCTTCCGCGCGCGCAGTGGAATTCTGGCCGACGAGAGTCTCAACATCAACAGAACTCCATACTCTATACTGGGGACCCTAAATGGGTTCTTTTGGTCGAGAAGCTGCACCAAAGGAGAAGTTGTGCATACGTTTGTTTAGGACCCGGTCACCCCCGTTGCTCGGGCAGGGGAAAGCAGCGGCTTTCGACGCCTCAGGATGGGCTATGGCAAAACAGTGCTGGCCATCGCGCTGCATGAGGCGCGGCAAGCTGCTCGGCCCAGAGCTGGGTATGGGTCAGAATTACACCAGGAATTGGACTGCAGGTTTTGGTCCACGTTTCCACTTACCGTTCCATGTGGGGTACCCGATTTTTGACAGCCAGCTTTGGTTTGAGGATCGCTGGGGTCTCAGCGGTTTTCACCGGCGGATTCAGGGTTTTTGCAGTATCCTTAAGGAACCCTATTAATGTTGACCCTGGATGAATGAAGGTGGATTCACTTTACTGTACCCAAAAGCTCCCTGAGAAATGCAGCGCCTCCAATAAATCAACCAGGGGGTTGTCCGCTTGATTGATGTCATTTGGGCACTATGGTGGTGCTGCTGGTAAGGTTGTTGATTATGGTACTCGATACCTCACGTATTTGGAACTCTGTCAAAGAGTAAGACTGGTTTTAGGAGAGAACCAGAGGACAACCAATCACCATATGTCTCCTTTTTAAGTCAGTTTAGTTGAAAATACATGGCACCAGTTTCAGCCTGCCAATCATGTGTCAGTGCCATCTATTCGTCCAATTGGTCATATATATATATATATATGTATATATGTGTATATAATTATATAATATATATATATACAGTATATATATATATACATTATATATATGATATATGTATAATATAATGCCAGTCATGCTCCATGCCGGCGGCTCAGGAGGAGGAGTTTGGGGATATGCCGGAGGTGGACCGGGGCACCAGCTTCCAGAGCAAGGCCACCCTGATCTGCATCCCCTCGCATCTCCACGCCCAGTGGAAGCAGGAGATCGCCAAGTTCACGGGCAAGAAGAACCAGGTGTCCTGACTTGGGTTCTATGGGGTTGGTTTTTTTTCATGTTTGTTTCAACTTCTTCTTCTTCTTTTTTTCGGGCGGGGGGGGGGAACATGCCCGCAACAAGGTGAAGTTTGTTGGGCAGGTAGTACTAGCCATCAAGTAGAGGTGGATTCGCCATGCTTTGCAAAAACCGTCCAGTTCTTTCTGGAAGGAAGACATCTTGAACAGAATAGTGGCGCTACCTTCAGTTAGGTATGCGGTCTAAAGCCATAAGATAGATTTGTGCCAGCTGCATATCCACTGTTCTGTGAGGATTTTAGAGAACCATTTCGAGGTTTTGCCTTTTTGTATGCATTAATTGTTGTTTCCCAACTTTTATAAAAATTTTACTAGGGGGTGTGGACGGACTGGGCTTGATGCTCCTGATAGGGACTTGAGACCTGTGGATGTTTGTGATCCAGCTTTCTCGAAGGATCCACCGGATACACGAGACAGAATCGGTTGACTCCGAAATCATGGTATTTTTGTTGCACATAGAGAACAAGGCAATCCTGGCATGTGTTCCTGCCAATGATCAGCCCGCGCTTGTCGCGGTTTCTTTGCAACTCTTATAGCCAACATTCTGAGGGGCTCTCAAACATATACACGGAGGCGGTGTTCCCTCAATCCACCCGAGAGCGCCTACGACCACAGGTGCTACGACACTTCAAGGTCGCACCTTAGGTGACCTACCCTCAAACCCGCATGGGAGCCGATTCTGATGTCAACATGTTTCGAGAAGGGCCGTGGGACCCGCAGGTGGTGGACCTGACGAAGGAGGCAGACCTCAAAAAGGCCACCGTCAGGACAGGGAGGGCACGCCCCTTAGCCGATATATAGATTGCATCTACCTATATCTTAAAGGTTCGGGGTCCTTTCTTTGGGGTATCTTGGATGGGGGAGTCAACCTGGTGGAACGAGGATTTCTTAGTGATCTGGATTCCTTCTAACATGGGACCCCACCCAGGATTCCTTTGGCATTTGTTTCACCGCAAATGGAACACACTCTGTGAATCAACCATGGAGTTAAGAATCCTGGGTTCGAAACATGAGTCACTGACAACAGTGTTGGTAGTCTGCTGTTGGCTCTGGGAACACATGGAGAATCCACCCTGTACCACAAAAAACGGGCGGCCCGCCCATATCCTGTTCAAGAAACCTGTGTATTGTTTTCCAGGGCTTTCTGGCTTGTGGTTTCCGCCTGCGCATGTGACCTCATGTAGCTTCTCAGCCCGCTTCCAGTGGCCTCCCCTCCAAAAGGCGGTGAGGAGTTTCAAATTCCCCATGTTGATATCCCTTAAAGATGGGAACCCCTCGCATTCCAGCCAAGCCGAAACCGGTTTGGATCCATGTTCAAACTGACCAAAGTGTACAGCCGCTTCATGGCGGGACGAAAAAGCTCCATGGAAGGAACTGGCTGGACCCCAATCCAGGAGCGTTCTGGAGGCCGACCTGGTGCTTTGCAACTACGAGCTGCTGCTTTCCCCGAAGTACAACGAGCGCCGGAAGAAGCTCGCGGAGCTGGCAGTGGCCACTGACGAGCATCGCCTAAGGTGGTTGGGGTGCTGGGGGCAAGGGGGGAAGAGGTTCGGGGGCAAGGGGGGAAGAGGTTCAAGGGCCCGGAAAAAGTGGTGATATGGCGAATGTACCTTTGGGTCGTCGAAATCACCAGAAAAGCGGGACATTTTGAGATTTCGCACCACTCTGTCCCAGAAGCCTGGCACCTGACAGGGAAATTGGTCCCTAGCCTGATCGGCTGAGGTCTAGGCTGTGGTGATGTTCTCGATTCCTTCCCCGTTTGTCCTTTGCAAATTGACATGTTCGCAAAGACGGCCGTCCCTCATTTTGTTTTCGTTTTTGTTTTTTTGTCCCGCGGGCCCTTGCTAATCTGCAGTGGGAGGGAGAGCTGCCATCAGGATTGCGGGCTGGGAGTTAGGAGTTTGGACACCGTTCGATGCATCGAGCGCCTCCGGTGACTTTTAGGTGGCCCCTATTCTGGAACACATCCTCGCGGAATTGAAAAGCAACTCATACCAACTCAAAGCCGGTTGGTGTTGGCATACAGCAATTCCCTTGTGGTTCAGTTCATGCCCCGCAAAATCCGCTCAGCTCCGTACTTTGTGTGCTTGGGCCTTTGCGGTAGCTGAGGACTGGTTGGGAGGGGGGAAGATCCTAACACTCCTTCAGAAGCTGCAGCTGGGAATGTCCTCCTTCTTGCTGCAGCCGGAGAAGCATCCCTGGTCCGGGTTCCTTACGGGCACCTTGGCTCTTGGTTTTCGTGGATCAATGTCAATGACTGGTTTCACATCTCTTTTTTTGTCAGGCAAGCATGTTTGGCGAGGCCTTTCATATCTGTATGTTTTTTGCCCCAAATGTGTTGCTTCGATTTGCTTACAAGAATATGTGTACAAGTCCCCTCTTGTTCACAGGGAATCTACCACTGCACATTTGTGTTTGTTTTCTTCCAGACTAACTTCAGCAGATGGAAGTCCGTTTTTTTCTCTCAGCTTCGGAGTCAGAGGCCAGGGCGCCAGCTCCATGGGCCACCCTTTGCTGGAGCTCTTCTTCTGGAACCGCGTGATCTTCGACGAGCTCCATGAGGCCTCCGGAGCCATTAGGGCCACCAGGGTTGCGATTTGGTTGGGTCAACTCGTCAAAGGATGCCAAACCACTTACCCCTTTCGGGTTGTTTGTGGAGGTGCCGCTGAGTCTTTTTTGGGGACATGCCAGGTGGCCCCGAAAAGCGCCGGCGACGACGCGGTGCTCCTGTGTCTGCGGGCACACCACTTCTGGGGCCTCACAGGCACACCGCGCCATGGCCGCAAAGAGGTCGGGTGAACATTCGATCCAGCCACAAGGCCCCAGATTTTAGATGCTTTTGAGAGACTCGGCCCACTTCTTCGCTGCAAAGAGAATGACTATAGAATGTGCCTGTTTTCAGCTTTTCTACCTGAAATGGCCTTGACAATCATTTGGTCTTGTGTCTCTCTGAGGGAAACACAACATTCCTTCTTGCACAACCTCGATCGGGCAATCGGCGTTCCGTGTTTGTTTGCTTGTGGGGTGACTATTCAACTTCGAACGTCAGGGAGTGGGGATGGGGCCTTTGTTTGCCTGGCAACACCCCCTAAACATACAACAAAAGGAGGGTGCTCCCCAACCAGGGTTTGCCACCCGTTCCGCAACCCGAGAAGAAGTTGTTGGAGAAAGTAGGTCCTCAGAAAGAGGGGAGGGGACCTGCATAAAAACTTCCATTTGCTTAAGAATATTTGTTATTTTCCCCTGTTGTTTGTTTAAAGAAATCTATCACTACTGACATATTTTATTTGCTCCAGGGGCCAAAAGCAAATGGAAGAAACCCGCGGACTTTTCAACCAAGGCTGCTGTCGAGCGCCAAGCACGTGGCAGCTATGGCGGCCATGCTGCGGGTGGACGTGGCGGGCCCGGGGAGCCACCTGCTGCAGGACAGATCAGCGCCCCCCCCAGCCAAGTTAGGGTGCGTTTTTTTTTGTGGGGTGGGAACCCCCTTTTGGTTGGTTCGAAATGTTTGTTTTTTGGGGGGAACCCCCTTTTGGTTCGTTTTGATACCGCTTTTCTGCCAAAAGTCGATGGATGGGCCCTCACAACATGCCTAGGTGGTCATTTTTTAGGGCTCTTGGCACTTTTTTCGCTCGCTTCAGATCTTGAGCGGACAAACACGAAATGAGAGGAAACCTTGATTTGGCATGATGGAAATCAGCGGGAAATGAGCAGACATGTGCGGACACACACACACACACACACCAGAACATTTGTTCAATTGAGCGTTTTTGTTCTTCAATTGAGCGTTTGTGGGTGAAACCAGCGTGTTTTGTTTGCTCGAAACAGAAAATACTGAGAATAGTGCCTAGGGAAGACCTAGGTATGGCTTGGTCAATATTTCCCGGGATGGGTAGGTGCCAATCGTAGTATTGTCGGTTTCTGACATCTGGCGTGGTCAGAACACTTTTGCTTAGCCTTGGCCCCCCCCGGGTACACCCAAATATCAAGTTTTCAGATTATGATGTCGGAGGACACCCGCCCAGTTAGGGTTGCTAAGGACGTTCATGGACCTTTTGGTTCTGACTTTAGACAACCATGATAAGGATTCCTACTCAAGGCCATGACCACGACCGACTCGTTAGTGTTGATCATGCCACATAATTGGGTCCGAAATCATTGGCATGGGGGGGGGGGTGATATTTATCCAATATTCCTCATGGGAGAAGAATGTGTCTAATCAGTTGCCTTCTTTTGCCGATGCCCTCGCCGGCCAGATTTGACCCCTCTCAAAAATGAGGGCGGCTGGACCATTCCAAACCCGCACCGGTTCATTCCCCGAGCCCGAACAAACTCCTTACTGACCAACAAGTTCTTTATGGATCTTTATGGTTGGTATTTCAATCAGATCAGATGTAAAATAAGAAGAAAAAAACATGAAACTCATACCACCCAATGGTTTTTGTTTGTACAATCCAAAGGATAGCGACCCAGTCCTGCTGGCCAACTGCGGCCGCTTCCTGGATGCCTGTGCTGCTCGGATGTCGGGTGGCGTGGATTTTTCTCAGGTACGCTTTTCGAGGCTCACCCCTCTTTAGTCTACAGAAGGTGCAATTCTCTTTACGTAGGCAAGTAAAGGGGGTGGCTGAACTAACACATGGGAGAGGTGTGGCATTTGCTTTCAACCACTGCAACACCAGTTATCTTGACATGTGTCAAGATAGGGATGGTGATTGGACATTGTCAATGGTTTAGCCCGTTTACCCGCCGTGTAATCACCTTTTTGGAGGTTTCAGCAGGAAAAGACCGAAGCCTTCCTGGCTTGAGGGGGGAGGTCCCTTGTTTTGAGACAAAGCCTTTTGGGCCAAGAGTTCAGGCTAAGATGCCCCTGAAAGACTTCCACCCACACTCTCTCCCCAGTAAGTCTGTCCGCTAGTTCGAGGTGCGCCAGAACACGGCGGAGCTGCCAAAGATCCGGGTGGTGCAGCACCTGAGGCTGGTGAAGCACACGCCGCAGGCACATAATTTCCGGAACTCGGTGGTTCCGCCGCGGACGCGCGCGCGCGCGCGGGACATGGGGTGCTCTGGGATCGGGGGGGTAGTTGCTTCTAGCTTGTCACGTGCCACTTGTCGTCTCTACCTTATTTGGGGCGCTTCTTGGGTTTCAGTTTGGATTTTGGTTTCCCCCAAGCTCCGCGGTCCCCCAGTTGCGACTCCGTAGGAGCGAGCGCTGTACTTGTCGGCCTTGCACTCGGAGAGCTGGCGCACCGTGCTGAAGCGCAACGAGCGCCTGTTGATTCTGTGCTCTCACTTCAGCGAGGAGCTTATGGCGGATCAGAGCGCCGGCGAGGCGACGGTTATCCCGGCTGTCAACCACCCCCCCCCCCACCCCCCTCCACCCAAGTCCCAACTGTTGTCCACCCATGTCAAGAATGAACATGGGATCCGCTGTTGCGAAGAACCCCACGAAGCCAAGAAGCGACATGAAGGTTGCAAAATCGACCCCAAGTCTCCATCATCCCCCCCCCACTGCCCCCTCCACTGCCCCCTCCACTGCCCCCTCCACTGCCCCCACCGGTCGCCGGTTCGCGAGGCGTGCGTGAAGCTGCTGACGCGGCACCGCTGGGCCTCCGAAGCAGCGCTGGCGGCGCTCTGCCGCGTCCTCGGGTGGCGCCGGGCGCTGCGCTGCGCGCTGCAGAGCCTCGGCCTGGAGGAGGCCGTCGCGGGACGCGGGGTGGGCCAGGCCCTGTCGCGGGCCCGGAACGAAGCGGATCTGACCTCCGTGAGGGGCGCTTGGTGCGATATGTGGGTTTCGGGCATGAATGTCCGAGATCGGGTTATGGGAATGAGACGGTTTTAAGGATTCCCTCATCAAGGATACCAGAGAAGATGGGATTTAGGGGTATTGTCCATTTTTCATTCGCTGAGAACCAAGGAGAAGGGTTTCGGTTTCTCTCTCCCAGATCTCCAACACGATTTTAGATTTTGGGGCGGCGGAAAATGGAGCTTCATATCTAGAGTGGGAGTTGGGAGGCAATCCCAATCCATGATGAAATCCAACTCCCACATGGATCCCATGATTGGAGCTCCAACACTATTTCTAGAGTGGGATCCATGATGAAATCAAGATTGGACCCGTGGAACATGTGGGAGTTCAATAGTGCTTGGCTATGGAAACAACCAAAGACCCGTAGCTCAGCGCCAGCGCCAGCCGGCTTCCGCCTTCGCGCGCGCGCGCGGGAGGCGCCGCCGGCGAAGCCGCAGGAGGCGGAGGTAGGTGCGCTGGAGGAGGCGGAGGCAAAGGTGGCGCAGTCAGGCGAGGTGGGTCTCGGGGTCTCATAAAAATCGGCTTATTGTGTATATACATATATATATATATATATTATTATTATTATTATTTCAGGCTTCCTGAAATATGAAGCAAGATCTGAACATATCGGTCTTTAAACCTGTCAGGAGGTGTTTTGTTGTTTCAACTGTGTGTGTGTTTGTATGCGTGTTGGTTGTTGTTTGCCTTTTTTAGGGAGGGAGGGGGTCCCTCAATTTCGTTCTTGTTGAGTGCACCCAATTTTGCTGTTTTTGAGTGGGCAACTGGCGAGCAGTGGCAACGTAATCGGAACCCATCAATTTTTTGATCAACGCTTCGAGGGGAACTACATGGAGCGGGGATTGGTCTGTTTGTTTTTCTGTTCTTTTTTTTGCGAGGCCAAGGAGGACGGTGCTCTGGATTTACTTGAAAGTAACATTCAGCAAGGACCAATGAAATGAAAAGAGTTCAGCACGCCGGCTTTGCCATGAAGCACGGCTGGGGAAGTGTGTTTCAAGGTGTTCATTTCGGATTTGAGCACACAATTTCAACTGAATCGGGTACATGTTTGAGTCATGAAATCACCCATTTTATTGGGACGATCGGTTCGGTCATCCACATTGATCCGACATAAGCCCAGGTGCAACCAACGCCTCGCGTCACTCATCTGCGCACCAACTGTCCGCTCAGTACCCTTCCACAAGCAATCGTAAGCAGCATAAACAAAAGCAAAAGCGGGGGCTTGATTCCGATGTGCCTTGTTGATCAGGCGGCTCCAATCCCCCTGGTTCAGTACAGCATTTTGCGCTTCAACTTCATCAGAGGCTCCAAAACTGCCCCGAGCATGCTGGCTGGCGTGAGTTCTAGCAGCTGGCCCCAGGGGCCCTTTTACTTTAGCTGTTTCATCCTTCCTCCCAAACACATGGCACCAGATTGCGCTTGCAACAGTCCTTTAGTGATTTTATCCGATCCCAGTGACTGGTAACATATTCCCTTGTGGCACTGGCCAGGAGAGATATTTGGACCCTCAAGTTCTAAGAAGCTCTTGTAAGGGATGGGCGGGGGCCTCTCTTTCTTCCCTGTGAGGATTCCCTCCCCAAGCTGGGTCCTTTAAAGTGAACATGTTGAGTCTCAAGATGATACTTTTGGGGGTGGTTCCTTTGACCCCAACATTGAGTTATTAAGACGGTTATGCTGAGCATGTCACTTTGGAGCCAGTTCTACTCAGTACTGCGCTCTCCGTAGATCTGAAGCAGCTCATGGACGCCAAGCTGCAGGGGGAGAACTGGTGCGCCAAGCTCAGGCGCGGAACGTTGAAGGACGGTCTTCATGACCCACTTGCCCTCCCCAACGACCCCAACCCCCTCAAACCCGCTGCCAACCCCCCGCAACCTCCCCCCCCCTTTTAACCCCCCCAACCTGCGCGACCCCCCGCAACAACCCCTGCCCCGCCCCCGCAACCCGCCCATGGGCTCGAGGCGCCTCCTCTTGGAGAAGCCCTCTGCGAGCCCCACGGAGGAGAAGCTCAAGGAGGCGAAGGACTTGAAGGCCTGGAGCAGCCGCTGCGAGGAGCTGCGGTTGAAGGCCGGTGAAGGGCGGGTTCTTTGAGGGAAGTGTCTGGGTTGGGGTCAAAGCCTTTGGAGATACCAAGGTTTGGACAATTAACATGTGTTCCTTTTTGGAAAATGGAAGGTACAATTTGTCATGTTCAACAAGAACAATAATAATGTATAAGTTTTCCATTTATAGTCATGGTTGTGGAAGCACTTTTCATGTTGCAATGTTCCCTTGATTTAGAGCCTCCAGGAGCCTCAAGAAAGTAAAATCCAATTTCGGTCAAGCTTGAGCAGGGTGCTTTTTCAACACACGCCCTTTCATTTCCCACAACCCGGAAGACGGCACCATGCGCCCAAAAGATACATCTCCAACATGACTTTAGATTTCCCAAATTGAGGGCGTTGGGAGCCATGTTCTATTTGGCTACATGAAATGGAGCCCAACATGGTGGGTGGTGCTTTTGGTTTCTTGTGGCTCCCGTCATGGTTGTGAACATATGGTGTTTTTGGTTCTTCACTTTTTGTGATCGGCCAAGCGAATGGCCTGCGAAGTCATGAAGTAGTTGTGGCGATGGATGGGAATCAACCACTTTGGTATCGCAGAATGGGCTGAGTGTTATATTTGGTTCGCAATGGTTCTTTAGACCTCCCTGTTTGCCGTGCACTGGGCGAATCCGTTTCCACTAGGCGCTGGAAACGCTGATGATGGCCAGAAGCCAACAGCGGTTCCTGGAGCGGACTCTGGACCTCATGGCCAAGGCCAGCGAGGGCTGGTTGGTCAAAGCTACCAGTCCATTCGGGCTTTCCTTTGGAAGGTGGACTCACGTGCAGCACGGCGATCAAAGGGAACCAAGAGTGGTCCAAGGTTTGATTTGGGAGTGGGACACTGGACGTCCCAAGAAGAGCCTAAGGAATCACAACAAGTCCCATGTATTTTCTCATGTCCCCTCGAGAGAGCAAGTATTTTAACGCCTCCAAGCCGCCGACATTACAGGCCTGCTTTCTTATTGCGTCCCTTTGGAATTGACCCCTTGCCCCCCTTCCCCTCTAAGATCTTTTCCCCCCCGTCCCCCCCGGATATCTTCTCCCCCTTTTCCTCCCTAAGATCTGTTCCCCCCTTTCCCCGTTGAGATCCTTTCCCCCCCTAAGGCCTTTTATTCTGAGATCTTCTCCCTTTTCCTCCCTAAGATCTTGTCCCCCCTTTCCCCCCTAAGGCCTTTTATTCTGAGATCTTTTCGCTTTTCCTCCCTAAGATCCTTTCCCCCCTTTTTCCCCCTTTCTCCCCTAAGGCTTTTTATTCTGAGATCTTCTCCCTGTTCCTTCTTAAGATCTTTTCCCCCCTTTCCTTGTTGAGATCCCCCCCTTTTTCCCCCCTTTCCCCCCTAAGGCCTTTTATTCTGAGATCTTCCCCCTTTTCCTCCCTAAGATCTTTTCCCCCCTTTCCCTGTTGAGATCCTTTCCCCCCTTTCCCCCCTAAGGCCTTTTATTCTGACATCTTCTCCATTTTCCTTTCTAAGATCTTTTCCTCCCTTTCCTTGTTGAGATCCTTCCCCCCTTTCCCCCCTAAGGCCTTTTATTTTGAGATCTTCCCCCTTTTCCTCCCTAAGATCTTTTCCCACCTTTCCCCCTCCAAGATCTTCTCCTCCCTCCCCCCCCCCCCCGCCCCCCCTCCCAAGATCTTTGCCCCCCTTTCTCCCGTCTAAGATCTTTCCCCCCCACCCTTCCCCCCTTACAATATCCTTTCCCCCTTCACCCCCGAAGATCGTTTCCCCCCTTCCTAAGATCTTTTCCCCCCTTCCCCCCCTTATCTAACATCTTTTCCCCCCCTGAGATTTTTTCCACCCTGTCCCCCCTCCTAGCATCTGTTCCACTCTTTCTCCTCCCAAGATCCCTCCCCCTCTCCCCACCCCTTGTAAGATTTTTCCCCCCCTTTCCCCTCCTAAATCTTTCCCCCCCTCCCCCGCTCATAAGATGTTTGTTCCCCCCTTTCACCCCCTAAGATCGTTGTTCCACTTTCCCCCCCCTAAGATCTTTTCCCCCCTGAGATCTCCGATCTTCTTTCCCCTTCCTCCAAAATCCTTTTCCATCTTCGTCCTCCTAAGATCTCTTCCCCCCTTTCCCCCCTCCCCACCTAAGATCTTTTCCCCCGTTATAAATTATTTCACCCCTTTCACCCCCTAAAATATTTTCCCCCTCTCCACCCTTAAGATCTTGATGTTTGATTCATTTCCAGATTTTGCTTCACCAGCATCGGCAACATCCCCAGCATCACTTGCATCAACCACATCCATGGCAGGCGCTGTTGCGGATGATGCATGTGATGCTGGCGATGTTGCCCAGGAGATGCTAAGGATGCGAAAGCGGAACTCGAACACCAATGTTTTACGCAACTGTGTCCCGCACAGCCCCCAGAAGAAAGGATTTAGTGGAACGTCTTGGAATCACCGCGTTGTACGTGGCCACCCCCCCCCCCCCGTGGAAGGGTAGACCATGTATAATGTGGCGCGCGCGCGCGTGGCTCACATGACCCGCACCCCCCTTGTTGTTTTCATTATTCGAATCACTCCATATACTTTTACAGGGGCAGGTGACTGTTGAGGAATGCCAAATCCAATTCTTCTAAGTGTCTAATTCTTCCAAATATTCCCGAATGGACGTGCTTTGGATCTTCAACGCAATTTCCATTTTTGTGCAGCTATTCTAATTGTTTTGTTCCCGCAAGGGACTGGAGCCCTTTTGGCGAATTTCAGATCCATGCTTGCTCTAACTATTCTGCTTCTAAACCTACTAGCTTATCTTATTTTATTTCCAAAGCGAGGGCTTCCTTTCGGGAAATGCAACACTCATGCTTGTTCTAATCATTCTAAGCATTCTCACAATTCTAACATTCTGTTTTTCAGTGGCCGGGCGCCTTGTTGGGAATGTCCAGATTCACTTTGAGCTAATCATTATTTATCCTAACATGTGTTCCCAAAGGGACGGGTGCTTTCTGGGGAAATCCAGACTCACTGTCTAATTACAATGATGGTCTAACTAACCTAATTCTTCGATTTATTCAAAATGGGTTGGGTGCTTTCGTGGATTTCCTGGCTATACTCTTCTGATTAGTCGGGTTATGCTAGTTATTCCCAAAGGGACGCGTGCCTTTTGAGAAACTAACCAATTCATTGTTGCTAGTTGATCGACTTATGCTAAGAACTTGGATAAGTAGTATAATTAGGACACAGTTCCCTATTACTCATGTTTCTGAAAGGGACAGGTGCCTTTTGGGGAATTCCAGATGCATCTGTTTTAACTCGTCCAATGATTCTTTATATTATCATGCTAAGTATTCCAAAGGGACGGGCACCCTTTGGGGAAATCCAGATTCAGTGTCTGTTCTAATCATTCTACGGTTGATTTGTCCAATTACACCAATTATTGTGGAATTCAAGATTCATGTTTGCAATACGCAAGTGTCAGAACCATTCTCGTTACTCTATTTTTTCCCGAGGGGCCCTTGGGGAAATGGCAGATGTGTTTAGATCATTTCAAGTCTTGGAGTGGTTCCAACTCGGTGAAATAAATAGAATAAGACGAAGACGCGTAGCCGTATTTGTACGCGTAAATCGTGTGTGTCTGTTCTAGTTATTAAAATGAGTCTACCGAATTAGAAGATTAAACAACACAGACCAGATAACGCCCTTTGTTTTTCTAGCCACTCGGCTTATTCTAACTGTTCAAACAGGGGCGCGTGCCTTCTCAGGAAATCAACATCACTTTATTTGCAAGTTCCTGTAATTGTTCAAGCTGTTCTAGTTATTCCTCACGGGAAGGATGCCCTTTGGGAAACCTCAGATCCATGTTTCAAATTGTTCTACTCATGTATTCCGAAAGGGACAGGTGCCCTGTTGGGCGGAATTCCCGATTCATTGACTTCTACTTAACTACTGTTCCCATTGATCCGAATATCCAGGACGATAAGAGAATATATGTTTTGCTAACTGTTCTAAATATTCTACTTGTTCCCAACTGGACAGGTGCCTGTTTGGGAATTCCAGACTCATGTTTGCTCCAGCTATCCTGAGTAGTTTCATATTCTATCCATTGCCCAAGGGACGGGTGCCTTTTGGGCGAATTCCAGATTAGTGTTTGTGCCAATTATTCTAACTCTCTAATTATTCTGATTATTCCGGTGCCTTTTGAGGAATTCAAGATTCATCTTGCAAATTACTTTATTTAACACAATTCTTCTAGTTCTTCTAATTGTAATCTCTAGGGGGTGGGGGTGCCTTTTACAGAGTTTCAGACTCGTGTTTGCTCTAGGTATGATACTTTTATCAAAAGAGATGGGGCCTTTTGGTGAATTCCATAGTTTTCCCACACTGTTCCAATCATTTGAACAATTTCCAGCTGAGCAGCCTTCTTTTGGTGAGTAGAGAGGGTGACAGTTGGGAATTCCAAATCCATGTCTTCTAAGTCTCTAATTCCTCCCATTATTCCCATTATTCCCGGCGTGCTTGGGAATTTTCAGGTTCAATTTCACCAGCAAACAGGAGCCGTTTGGCCAATTCCAGATCTAAGCTTGTTCTAATTCTTCTACTTCTTATAAGTACTATCATCTTATGTGCGTCCCAAATGGAGGGGTACCTTTTGGAGAATTCAATATTCATGTTTGTTCCAACTAGTCTAAGCGTTCACAACTCCAACTCTTCTACTTATTTTCAATCGGCCGGGAGCCTTCTGCGACAGTCCAGATTCAGTTTGTGCTAATTAGTTTGCTTCTCATGATTCTTCCAACATTTATTTCCAACGGGGCGGGTGCCTTCTGAACATCCAGGCTCACTGTCTAATTACAATAATTCTTCAATTTAATCCAGCGTAATTCTTCGATTTAAATTATTGTCATTATCTTATTTGCTTTCCAAATGGAGGGGTACCTTTGGGGAATTCAATATTAATGTTTGTTCTAACTAGTCTAAGCATTCACAACTCTAACTGTTCTACTTATTTTCAATGGGCCGGGAGCCTTGTGGGGAAGTCCAGATTCAGTTTGTGCTAATTATTCTACTTCTCATGATTCTTCCAACATTTATTTCCAACGGGGCGGGTGCCTTCTGAACATCCAGGCTCACTGTCTAATTACAATAATTCTTCAATTTAATCCAGCGTAATTCTTCGATTTAAACTATTGTCATTGTCTTATTTGCTTTCCAAATGGAGGGGTACCCCTTGGGGAATTCAATGTTCATGTTTGTCCTAACTAGTCTAAGCATTCACAACTCTAACTGTTCTACTTATTTTCAATGGGCCGGGAGCCTTGTGGGGAAGTCCAGACTCAGTTTGTGCTAATTATTCTACTTCTCATGATTATCCTAACATTTGTTTATGTTTAAAGGGGCGGGTGCCTTCTGGGGAAATCCTGACTTACTGTCTAATTACAATGCGTGTTTTATCTTCGATTTATTAAATGAGTGTTCCTCATAAAGGGACGCGTGCCTTTTGGGAAAATCCAAATTCATTGTTGCTAGTTGATCTACTTAGTCTAAGAATTTGGATAAGTAGTATAATTAGAACATTGTTCCCTATTACTCGTCTTTCTGCAAGAGACAGGTAGGTGCCTTTTGGGGAATTCCAGATGCATCTGTTTTAACTCGTCCAATGATTCTTTGTAATATTATCATTCTAAGTATTCCAAAAGGACGGGCACCCTTTGGGGAATCCAGATTCAGTGTCTGTTCTAATCATTCTACTTCTTTGATTTGTCCAATTGCACTAGT